GGGGGTGGTTAGGCGGGGTGGGAGGAAGAGGAGGCGGGGGGGGATTTTGGGTGCGTCGGGAGAGAGAGAGGATGATATTTCTGTCCCTTGAGCTCTGGTGAAACCCTCCTCCCGTGACCGGCGCGACACAGATATGCTTTTAGTGGCGGTAGGTGGGGATCTATTGCGAAAATGGGGGATGGAAAGTAGAAATATATTCGGTGAGAGGGAGAGAAAGAAAATTTTACCCGCGTGATACGTGAATCCTTGGAGCACTCACGATCTTTTCAGGGGCAGAGGATATTTTTTTTTTATCCTTCACATATCCCCTTTGAGGGGCTAAAGACAAAGTATATTCTGAGATTTCTCATCATCTCATCTCGATTTCAGGAGCTATCTTATGGTCTGAAGAGAAGTGAATTCGGATTTGGTTGTGACTGATTTCTGTGGAGTGCGGGAATTTATTTTCTTGGATTATCGGAAGGATTAAAAATAGTAATCGATGTCGCTTGGGATGATAAGGAGAAAAATTGAGTACATTCTTTTGAATAGAGAAGGGGGGGGGGGGGAATCGCTCGAGTTTAAATCCAAACCGCCGGATATGTATTCCAAGGAACCCCTCGATAATGGTGATGGGTCGTCTGGGTGATAAAAAGGGAGAAACAGGAGAGTACTCCCTTCGACAAATTAACACGACACGGGGTGGCTCCTAGCATCTATTGTCCCGTGCACTCACGTTCCTTTTCCATTTCGCTTCTTCACGATTTAGAGAATAAAAAGAAGGAAAAGAAATGAGAGGGCGAAGGGAAATTTGTTCGATGTTAAAATTGTCATTTGCCTGCCATTCATCGATTTGGAAAAAATGCTTCCGGATTTTTTTTTATTTTTTCGTGGAGGGAGCGGGAATTCAGTGTCTGTCATAATTAGCTGTTGCCCACTCGACGAAAAATACATTTCACTTGAATTCAATTGAGATTTTAAATTCACCTCGAGTTCACCGGTTGAGGCTGTAGACGCACGGTAGGATTCAACCGGAAGCTTTTATTGTTTTACAAGTTTACTGCAAGGAGGACGGGATAAAGGAGAAAAAAAAATACTCCTGGGCTGTTGGTTCGTGATTCGATTGCCGTTGGCCAACCGCACCGGGTGACTCCTCTTCTCCCCGTCTTCACGAAGTCGACCCTCGTTACTCCTCGGGATGTGCCATCCGGAAACCCGCGGAATACTTGGTCGCGTTTTTTTTTTCTTTCTAACATGACATTTCCTGGTGTCGAGTATTCGGAACGCAGATAAGGATGACTTCAGACCTGTGGAATTTGGACCGGTATATTAAAAAATGAAGCGACAAGGTGAAATCACCGGTCAAGAATTCCTAAACATTATCGGTTCCTTTTTAATTCTTATCTCTAAAGAAATTGATTGGTTTTGAAAATTAAGTACCAGACAGAAGTACTGAATTTTTTCAGTGAAAGATGTAATCCAGGAGTCAGGGGCGTGTTTAATATAGATTTCTTTTTTTTTTTTTCAGTTTGTCAATGGACGCTTGACCCTTTGTCTCTGGTATTTGATTTCACTCGTATTCCCCATCCTCTCTGGGTACCTCCCACGTAATTCACGTGTGGAGAGAAGCTCTCTATTGCCATCGAGTCTTTTCATAGACCTTTCTTCAATGGTGACAATGCTTAGACATTGGAATAGAAGCTGAAGTGAGACAGATAATGTGTGTTGGTGCAGAGAAAATTCAACAATGCGACAGCAATCATGTGCCGCGCCCCTGTCAGCGGGACACGCACTCTGTTTTCTTTTTTTTTTTTCACCCATGTATACGCGAAAGCTTTCTTCCACCTCTTGACTCCATTTTTTCCTCTCTTCATTATTACTTTCTATTCAGTAGATTTTTTTTCCGAGGATCGGGAGATATTACATTGGCATTGAAATGTTGCGTATGATGAAAATCACGGAAATTGCGTGTTGCCATCATTTTTTTTCTCAATAAAATCCAACGTCGGTGTATTAATTATAGATTTTAATTTAGATTTTTGGTGAATGGTCCTGAGTTTTGGAGACCTCCGGGTGGAGAATTTTTTTAGTTTTGGAAAGTTGTGACAAAAATATCGGGGGGCCAGGGTTCTGACGTTTGATGGTCCCATGGGGCAGCATTTTGGTGATTAACTCAGGAATATTATTGAACTCAGTACGAGGAAAAGTCAAAATGAGATGTAAACATAGTGCATCTGCACGAAATGACATATTCAAGAGTTGATGCATTCTGGTATTAATTCACTGGGGACTTTGCGGGCTAGGGGTGGAGGGTTGAGGAGGGAATGTTTGCCTGAGGATGGATGGGCTAGGCAGGGGATGAACTGCAAACAACGATCGGGTTTCGGTGGCGGGTGCTGGGGCCTCGAGTGTGTTCTCGGAGGCCCTTTAGCCCCAGTGCTCCGGGTATACGCCAAATGGTATATATAGTGTTTTGAGTAAGAGGAGTCACGGGGAGAAAAAAATGGGGCCCCTTTTTTCAGGTACTCCCCGGAGGGCCAAAGGGTACAGAGAGTTGGGGAAACATATCCTATTTCATGAGAACTCACTCGATGTTTCATAGTCATCGGTTTAATTCAGTATTTCAAACGAGAAGAAAATAATATCCCAATCCGAGCCAATAAATTTCATTCATCAGGTTGTCGTGATGAAAATTTTTCATACCCTCGGGGGTTGGTGTAAATTGGGGCATGGTAATTGGCGAATGAAAGATTGACTGAAAAAAGTTGAAAACATAAATTCATCCGAAACTAATCGACTGAATGAACTCGCTGACGTGTCGACGGCTCCTCTTGGTAACTGAGTAGTCGAGTGAGAAGATGTAACCCTCGAAAAATAAAAATAAAAATAAATAATGGAGAAAAGACAAACACGAGTGTACACACACGCGCCGCAAATATTTCGGATGACGTACGAGGCACAACGGAGATATATAGATTTTTTTTTTTTATATTCTCTTAACGTTTTAGCCAGTCCCCGCGCACACTTTTCCAACGTATGTTATCTATGGACGCACTTAATACAGCTGCTCCATGCTTTTTGAGTCCCTTTTTCTCTCTTTCTATCTTTAGTACTGAAAGCTCCTTCCCTTTTCTCGAAAATGCCACTTAGAGTGACTGCATAATATATGTCACGGGCTCACCTAACGTATCCATGTACTTACCGGGCTTTCGTCTCATACTCTGGCTTGTTCGACTGTTAAAGTCAACGAAGATTCATTTTTCTCGGGTCATCGCCACTTATAATACACGTACTCTCAAGGTTTTATTTCATCTCCAAATATGCCTGGCATTATTTATCGCTTTGTTTATCGGATTGTTTCCGAAGGAAACGTATAATTCCCTAAAATTGACCGTTCATTTTTTTCTCTTAATTGCATTAACCGTTTCGGTCTGGGAGATGAATATTTAATTACAAGTCGATATACTCTGTGCGCTCTTCATTTTTTCTGGTAATTATGGCGGAGCTTCGGTTGTTGAAAAAATTACAAGTGTTTAATTTTCTTCTAGCTCGAGATTTCTAGAAAATTGTCTATTTTCCACAGCTCGTTACAATGGAAAAGCAGTAACGATTGAAGTAGTGATGCAAACATCATCGTGACGACTCGACTTGCAATTTTTTTTTTTTTTCATGCCAGTAGGCAAGCCAATAGGGGTGCCATATCCATTACGCTTATTACAGAGCACACCGACTGGTTATCCCTCCCATTCCCTCTATGTACAAACTCTCTTCTCTCTTGCCTGCCCAATTCACCACCCTCCACCCACCCTTTTACGTGGATGAACATCGATCGAGAGAGTCCAGTGGACTGTCGATAATGCACACTGTTCTACTGGTCTCTTTCATTTTTTTGCTACCAGGTAACCCAATATTGAATTTTTGCCAAACAAAAATTGTACAAATTGAAATTTTCGTTCATCATTCGGGACTCGTGTCCCTGCAAATGGTAAACTGATAGTGGAAAAAAATGATACTGAGGTTGGTCTAATGGAAGGGTAAAATAATGCATCAGTTTTAGCGAAAAAGCACATTTATTTGTTTTCCTCGCTGACTAGTCTCTCCAATTTCCTTGAAAACCCCAGTGTTTACAGAAAACGGAGGAAAAACAGTATTTATTAATTCCTATGTTGTATACATTATTGTTAAGTCACCGTTGCGACGGAATTTCATTCTTTACGGTTTTCGCTGGTGCAGGGAAATTTATTTTTCACTGAGTTAACTGAATTTTTCGTGTAACAGTGAGATGCGCACAAGAAAACAGAATATTTTTTAAATATTTTTCGTATGCAGATCACTGCAGCTCAGAGAACACCAATAATTCGGAAAAACAGTTAAATTATTTCTGTGAATTGAAAAAAATTACGGATTACTTAATTAATTCGATAACTATTCATACAAAAATACGTTTCCGTGATTGCAACGGACACTGAATGGACTCGACAGAATCTGTCACTTCTAGGTTGAGATATTTTCTATTCTCGTCTATTCTTTCAATTTTCTAAAGTGCATCCACGAATGGGCGAATAACTGATGATCGACAGATCGATGATTTCTAATACGTAAATGACATTATTCCATCAGAAAAGAGCGCCGCAACTAATAAACCTAGAGTTATAAAAATGAAAACGACGGATAGTCGGGCCAAGTAAGACATTTATGACTCCTACCGTGGCCTCACGTCGTTGTTATCATCGTAATTGTTATCAAGTATGTGTATGATTAAGTAATACCATGGGTACAAATTGCATTGGCAGGACATTGCACTATCGCTGCAACGGTTGTTGCGCGAAAAAAAAAAAGAAAAATAATAATTAATCCTATCAAACTCGATTAAACCGTTAATAAATTACAATACAATAAATATTTACAACTCCGGGTGAATTTTACAACCCCAGACGGAGAAACAAAACGTTAGACATAATGGAACAAATCAGAGAATATGTTCAATAAAAATCACATTCAGACGGTAACTCATATAAATTATAAGAAATAATGATAGGGTGTCTCGGTAAATTGAACGTACATTATTTGGCAAGCTTGTTACTCTTCTGGAGTTTGATGTAATGAAATTCATTTGCACGATGACTCTTTTAGAAGACGAATGAGTGGATGTTGCTGACCTTTTTCGGACTTTTTGTATTCCTCCAGAAGCTGAATATTTTTTTAAAGAGACATTATTATGGAATCAGCTAAATGGATGTGTCAATCCGCTGGATTATCGATTTTTTACTCACCTGATAAGACATTTCGCATGATAAGACAGCAGTGGCAGCGCTATTCTCGTGGGTTGCAGCCAGAAGGGTTGGAAGGGTAAAGGGTGCCAATTTGGGATCACCATAAAAAGGAAATGGCAATGTGCAGAGATGCTGAAGTACACTGGGGCCAGCGCCCGCAGTTTGTAGAACCAACTGCAACGATTAACACAAAGAAATATTACCATAGACCTGAAAATCGTGGGAACAACCCATGGACCCAGGTGTCACGGAAATGTCCTCGAGGTATAATGCACAAAGTCACATCACCTGCTGAGAACAAGTGTTTCAAAGTACTGTTTATGTATTTTATTTCTATCCACCTGCAACTCTCTGACGCCCGCATCGGTTTACCTCATTGACGAATGATAATTGGAGTAATTAGAGTAAACGAAAAAAAAAAATGAAGTCAATCCCCTGACAACCGTAAATAAGCATCCAAAAATATAAAAGAATGAAGCCTCTCTTTTTCATCACGTCAGATTGGCCAGAAAAGAGATTCTTTTCACTTTGTCTGTATAAAAAAGGGGAGTACGAACCGAGAACAGTGTTGACTTCAGTCCAAATCTTTGTTTATCCAATCCGCAAAAACTCGTCTGTATGCTAATGCCAATCGGATTTGCAAAACAACACGTGTATAATTTATCAAAACAATTGTAAATGGTTTAACATCTGGAGAAGAATAATGGTAACAGAGAAAAAATAATTGACAGGTCTCCGGACTTATTTAAAGGCTGAAAAATTATCAGGGATGTGTATTTATTTGTTATTATGTGTTAGTTATAAAAAATAGTGAATTGGGGGAAAGTAGGAGGGAGGATGAGGCGTGTGGACAAATGGGCAAAATTCAGAAGAGACAAAATAAAAAATAAAATACCCAAGTGAGCATAAAGGAGAGGAATGAACAAGCTGTTAGACACAACACACTCAGACACTTGGGCCTCCCATCAATATACTTTCCACCAGTTGAAAAACTCGAGATATATATTTCATTAATTTTGAGGATGCTTTTCCATCCGCACCACTTACCGATATCTCTCTCATCGTCAAACTATCTTTCTCTCACTCGTTGTGTTATGTTAGTAGCCGAATGGTGGCACGCGCCGAAATATACACCCTGAGTGCATCACATGACGTCCAACACATTCGTCACTTCGTTTGAACCCTGAGATACCGCACTTTATGTCCCCATTCGAGCTGATTTCTTCCTCGCGTTATTTACGATCTGATTGCTTCATGAATTTATCTCAATTCTAAATGGAACTATTGGAATTCGTCACGTTAAAACTTACCCGTCGACCTAAACGCATTACCAGAATTTTTTCAAAGCTATAATGCCTGGTTTTATTTCCGAGAGTTGATGATAAGGAGGCAAAAAATATTCTACAACCATTAACTACGGTGCTTTCTTTTTTTTTTTCTCTCTCGAGACATTCCAGTGATATCGAGGACGACTCATGGGGCACTTTTAAAATAATCTGGAGGAACTCTTTGGTATGAGCATACCTGATTGTCGATGTTGTTGACGGCGAAGTAGCCAAGGACAGTGAATAGCTCGGAGAGAATGGTTATGGCTGTTGGTGATGTCTGGGTGGATTGATTCTCTTTCGACTCGGCTAGGGGCTCTCGTTGGAATCTTGTGATCAAATGACTTGCTATTAATCTCCATTGGAGATTGGTACCTTCTGCGCCTAATAAATTCTGAATTAAAAAAAGAAAAAAAAACAATTAAGACTCACGAAATTAACATACTCTCTGCCTGTATGTCATAAAAGCTGTCATTATTTCATTGCACCGTTGAAAATTTTGAATTCCTTGGAATTTTTATTTTTCATCACTCGGAGTGTAAAACTTGAGTTTCTCAATACTTGTTAATGGAATGAGTAAAAAATGCCGTGATATCTTTATGTTCAGAGGCCACGAAATGAATCACTAAAAGATAATGTTCTCAACATGCCGTAATACTAAGTTCTTCAGCAAAGAGAATAGCTAATAAATTCCTGGGTCCCCATGAAAAATATTTCGTATGGCTTTTATCCTGTGGATAACTGGGAGTACCTCAACGAGGGATAATCGAGTGATCTCCCCCGGGATTCTCCATGGGAGGCAGTTTGGATCCCGTCGGGAAACAAGGGGGTCGGCAAAATCCACTCCCCCAGTTCACTTATGTTACTTTGGGCTACCGTGGATACGTCCAAGGTGCCGGTTTCGATTCAATTCGTGGTCTGATCGCCGCAACCGCCTGTCAGCCCTCACTCCCTTCTCTCTTTACATCTCCAGCTGGGTTTATGTCTCTATCGAGTGCTCAAAAAACCCCTGTCGGTTAATGGATGGAAAAAAAATTTCCAGGAGGCGCCTCCCAATATGGTGATTGATCATTTCCCCTTTATCATTCAAAACAATCTGTTTATGTTTTTTTGCTTTTCACTAAATCGCATGCCAAACCGTTTAACAGAAATAAATAAAGTCTCAAATTGATTTTTCCTCTTCTCTGGGGAATTGTTCGGCAAAAAGTTCAGAGTGTAGAGGCGAAAATTGGTGAGTTGAGGACACGAGGAATTAGTCAGACCTTCATCAGGAAGTAAAAGGGTTGAATTTTTCCTTTGGTCTCGTTGATTGAGGGAGACATCCTCCATAATTCAATCGAAAGTCCGTCGAAAGTAATAATTACCTGTAGTGTTTGTAGATCAACTTGGCCTATAGTTCTCAGTAATTTGAGTCCCCGTAGAGCCAGTAGTCTGCCATAAGATGTAAATTGACTCTGTCCTGGAGTGGGTGAAGAGCACTTCTGATGAGGTAGGGCAAATGTTGCATACAGACAACCAACGGTACCAGCAGCTTCACTCGCCAACAGACACCCGAGTAAGTGGGAATCAACAGTTATTTGCTCGGATTCATGATTAGAATTTGAATAATCTTGGTTTCGTTTCAAATGAATGCACAATCGATGCAATAAATCGTACGACGATAGAATAATTTGGGACTCGTGCTCCTGATCCAGGAAGAAGTCTGTCTCGATGAGGGCACGATGGTGGCGTGTAATTCGCTCGATCAAACCACCAGTCACTAAAAATCTGCAACATAATAAACATTATTTCAATTATAAATAATTCAGTTGATTTATCTCGTGAATTAATCGACAATGTGAATAAATATCGTGGGATAGTTGATGGTGGTCCTGGTCTGGTTGATGATTAGACGCGACAGTTGGTCGCGTCGTTGCACTTGCGTTGTCCCCGATGGGGTGTATTATGTATTCCTCACAACAATACATCGTCTCCCCACCAACTGGAGAAAAGGAAGGCGAATATATACTGTATAAACTGAAAGCGTTGATGTCACATTTTAGAGAGGGAGAGATGAGGGGGTGCAGCGATAATACGCACTGACAGTGCGCCCATCGTTCCCCTCGGGGTTCTCCACTGGGGTCGAGGGACCCTGGACCTCTCTTCAGCTAGAGTCACTCGATACCGGCTGATGTTGGCTCAACTGAGACAGAGAATCTCCTGGATATACTGGGGGTATATCGGGAGGAATGGGGAGTTGGAGAAAGAAAACATATACAATCCAGTGGAATGAGCAACCAAGGGTGGAGGAGCCTCATGCTGCCTGAGGGGGTTGAGGGGGTTGGAAGCTCTCTACACAGAATTACCCACTGATGTTATAATCCTCTCGTGTTACGCCGTCACACATGCTCCGTTATAAGCAATCGTTTTCTCTCTCTCTTTCTCTCTCTCTCTCTCTCTCTTTTGTCCCGTCAATACTTGACAACTACTTCTTTACCTATCGTGTGCTCGAGGAGTCGACGACACTGACCCGTTCACTTTCAATCAGCCTCCGGGGGGCTCACAACCCTTTTAATTTCAACTTACATGGGGGTTGACGGTAACGATAATAAACTCAATTGAAGAATGATTTTTGGGAGTCGAGATGAATTAAAATCCGGTGAATAACCAGGAAAAAACAAATTACTGATATTTTTACTCGAAATCACTCGTTGAATAATTCAATATGATTTGTTATGAATAAAAATATTATTCAAAGTTACATTGAAAGTTTGGAATGCATGGAATGAAATTTCAATTATTCAGGCAATTTATTTCTTTTTCGTTCCATGAAATTATTATTGTGAGTTTCATCTGCTGAAAAATTTGATTAATCCATGATAGTTCTATCAATCTCATCGTTCGAATTCTCATCCCCGATCTGGCGGATTATTCAGATCTCCCAAAGATCATCAGCTCCGAAATTCATATTAATTAATCCACCCGAAAGAGTCGAAATTAGTTAATCTGAGAATACGAAATACCGAGTGAAATCACTGCCGGAATTATTCACCATGTGGGGTCACTCCATGACCCCCGGCTGAAACGAATCGGCTAGATCGGCTGTAATATCACCCCCAATGACACGACACATACACCGTATCGTAACCCCAATATAGATTCTGAATATTATTAATATTATTGTACGACTCCGGGGAAGGGAAATATAGTTAATCCCGTACTCCAGGCTTTTCACTTCGTGTACCCAGAGTTATTTGGCAAGGGTGACGATAAAAATGAATGATAATCCGGGTGAATTCACCGAGGTGCATTTTATTAGAGAATTTGTACGGGTGGAGAAGCAATTGTCGTGAGTAGTGTCAATGGTAATCTTATTCCAAGAGGATTAGATGGAATTATGGCGATTAAATCTCGTTATTTACAATCTCGCGAAATCTGTTCAATAATTGCTTCCAATTTTAGAGGAAATCTCTCCGTATTCTTGATGTTCAAAGTAAATTTTCTACCTCTCAACTCTCAAGATGTCGATTGACTGGAGAAAAAAAAAGCCAAAACCGCGCCCAACATATTAATCTTGAAGTCGATCCACTAATGAAGGACTTTTTTTATTAGTTTTTCATCAATCAGAACGTCGGAAATCCGTGACGGTAGTGACAGGTTCTCCCACACCCGTCGTTTGTCCTCTCTCCAAGTTTTGTCCGATTCATTCTGGTGGAAGGCCAGAGTCACCGTTGAGAATGAATAAAAAGAGAGAAAAGGGAAATTATTGGCCGATGTCTAAGTGAAAGAGAGAAACGAGGGGATTTTGGCCCGTCGAGCGAAAAGATATGCACCCCAATTCGCTGGGGCATAGGGGTGCTATGAAATAATCATATGGTTAGCTAATGGCGAAATATGATGGGGGGAGGATTGCTAGACCGGGCGTGTGCGGACATATATACCCTTCGATCAGATGTAATAAATAAAACCAATGTATTTGAAGAACCCCACAAAACATTCAATGATCGATCGTAATCTTCCCGATATCAAATAAAACATTGAATTCGATAAATTGATCTCATTGTTTTAATAATTTTGAAAAGGGGTTTTCAAAACAAAAAAAAATTCTCTGAGAATCGTTCCTCCCTTATCAGTGGAGCAGATGGATCTGAGAAAAATGACAACAGATTATTATCCAAATGAGTATTTCATACCGCTGATATCGATTGTTCCTCGGGAAATGCGAGAGTTCTTGCCATTCTCCCCAGCCCATGACACACTTGTTACAATATTTACAGTGTCTCCTCTTACTGTCTTCCACCCCCGCTCATCCCCTCGTTTCAACCCCACTGACAAGTGTCCTTTCCCCAGCATCAACCGTCGACGTTTTCTCTTTTTTTCCATTGATTCTTTTTTCTCACCCGAAAGAAAACAGAAGTGCCTATATCGAATACTCCGAGTAATGATCGACGAGGAATCGATACGAGTCTTGATGTTTCTGGTAAATTTTCCATAACTCCAAAAATATGGAGTTGAAAGAAAAACAATTGCGACAATAAACATGGAGTGGCTACTCAAAAGGTGTCTGGGTAGCTCGTCGAATTGGTAATGTATTATAATCCCTTCGGTACTCGTTTTCTCTCTCTTCAATTTCACTCTATCCAGCATTGGAGATTCAGGATGGGGGCAGGAGCGACGACGACGCTCCAGGATATTGCTACTCCGTACTCGTTGACGCGTAATGCATTCGCGCTGGGATTTTCGTAGGAGTAGTGAGGGGGGAGGGTGAGGGGTACAGCATTTGCCCCCCCCCCTTCAAGACACATTCACGTACACACAGGGCTTTGGATTTACAGGGTGCAGGGAGGGGGTGGCTGTATACCATAAACGCGAGTTTGCACTCTCCGATAGTAAATAGTGGGGAATCGATCAAATCCAGATGGATGAATCAACAAACGAGCTACAGGGTTAGTCGTTGTGATTTCACTTTAATTTTTTGGCTCATCACTAGTTTTATTTTTTTTCTTGATGCTCAATAGTGTTGGGTGTGTCAAATGCAGGGTTTGATTGTTGAGTGAAGAGTTCTGGGAACTTTAGCAGGCCCATTTCTGTTGTCCTTTCAGTTCTGGTTTCAATGAGCAACGCCTGATCAAACACTCAACTGTGGTGCACAGCTTTACTTGCTCGAGAAATTTCTCAACAGTTCTGCGAAGGGGATAACACCTCTCGTTGCTCTCGTTGAAGATAAATGAGACATAAATATCCAGAAATCTATTATCGTTCGATTTTATAAAAAAAAAAACCGGTATTTTTTATCATTTTTTTTTAACACATCGTCTTGAATTTGTTTTATCAATGACGGGATTTCCTGAAATTTCCGTGAAATACGAAATTTTAATTTGGAAAATTTACGATAAACTGAACGACACGTGTTTTCAAATCCCGAAGAATAAATAAAAGCAAAAGGTAGAGACTCGAAGACGCGTAGTCGGAAGAAAGGGGCGACTAAAAAAAAACACACACACACAGACACACACATCTAGGCATATATTTGAACGGGGGTGAATGAGCGAGGCGGGTTGGGTACGTAATCTGCTAATGGACTCTCTATCCAGAATTCACCCTCACTTGGAAACTACCCTCCCCTGACCCTCCTCCATATCGTCCAATAACTTTCTTCTCTGCACTCCACCACTGTGGCATTTTCTAAACAAAAATTCTCAACCCACGGATTAAAATGTAATTGTCAAACCGAAGTGTTAAAAAAAAATTATAAAAAATGAGCAACATGTGCATATAAGTAATCAGTTACGGTTGTATTTTTTCTCATTAAATGCACATCATCAGTGACGCATCATACAGCGGGTGTAATTTGCCCTGTAATGCTTGTCTAACCCACGATCACGTCGCAGAGACCTCGGGGGTCTCAATGAGGGCAGATGCTCTTTGAACATCAGCTGGCCCCTTTTAATGTCTAACTGGCACTGTTCGGGGTGTCGAGACAGTGATTCACTCCTTCAGGTTCATTTTTTATCTATTACCCGGACAAAGAGCGAATGAAAAAAATATAAATCATTGGGGATGTTGCAGAATAAATCGTGTAACTCATCTCCAAGGAGATGCGCTGCAAGCACTTGGTGCTTTCATTTTTTTTTTAGAATGCAGTGTCTAGTCAACGCAAGATTAGTTAGAGGGGAGTGTAATTGAATGAGTGAGCCTCGTTGATCCGATATTAATCGAAATCTTTGTTCTCTGATGATGAAAACTTAATGTAAGACGTGGATCAAGGGTGGGCACGTTTTCATCACGCATTTTTTATCAATGCAGGAAAATTAAACAGAATGTTAATGAATTGGTGGAGAATGTGATAGATATTCCTGGGATGGACTTTCTCTGTCATTTTTTCATTGGTAAATTACTGATTTCAGGTAAACCACCCTCTTGAGTGTTTCTGACCGTGTTGTCGATTTCGATACGTTCATTATCATTCCCTTATCGTATTTACTGACGCATATGGTATTTTATGAACCGAATAGAGTGCCACTCTACGCCAAATGCACTTCGATGGTTTGTAGTCCACATTATCTTTGTGGGCGCATAAAATCTAGGGAAAATAGTGGGGAATAGAAAATCCGAATGTTCTGGTTTTTTCGTTTTTTTTTTTTCATTTTTCAAACTGGGGATAGTACAATCGATGCTAAGTAAAAGCCGTGACTGGTCGTTTTGCATCGATCAGGAAATTCATCATAATACATCAACCCTCAGACGTGATATCGTCAGAATAAAAAATAATGGGAATGGGGAGGGAATGAAAAAAATGTGGAGTGAGAGTGCAGGAAATGACGGGAAAAATGGTGAAATGTGGAAAATAGAGGGCGAAATTTATGGAAAAGGGTTTCAAAGACTGCGAGATTGTGGGAGGAAGTTGATCCAGGTGGATCTTGTGATGGGAGAATCGACTTCTACCAGTTAGCAGCGGATTGGTATGTGTCAAAATTTGGGGCGAGACGAGTCAGAGTATTATGTTACTGACGGGTCATCTCGTGGTGGTCTACCACCTTGGTGGTCCTCAGACGAATTTGAGTGACAGTCACGTGTCAAAATAATTGAACAAAAATAGAGTTCTAATTGAAGTCGCTGAAACTTTGGGCTGCGTATCGCGGGGAATGAATTTAGAGGTATTTGTGAATTTTCCATTTTTTCAACTTACCCGATGATGTCGTTGATGCGGGAGTGTAGAGCAGCTTTATCGAAAGGCACTTCTGGAATTAGACAGCAGAGCAATTGCAGCACTGCTGTGATAACGCTACCATTACCATTTGTTGTTGCTGATGTCTCCTGGGCTTGAGCTGAATCTTCCAAAATCGCCACTGCCTGGAATTTCACATTTTGATTTTTTTTTCGTTTTTGATATTTTCGAGACGAATGTATGAAAAATGGTTGATGAAATAATTTGTTGAGAAAATAGAGAAGATTTATCATCTCCCGGAGTGAAATTAAATCAATCAGCCGTTAAAATAAAAAATAGACAGTTTCCATAAAATGGGAAATAGCCGAAGGGTCAGAATTAAAGAATAGGACCCCTTTCGCAGTATAATCGTACCCAATGGCCCATACAAATTCATCGCAATATCAACGGTACCTATCCTTCTCCAGATGGACAAAAAAAACTTCAATGACAAAATTGACTGAGTAAATAGTCATTGGAGAGCGACTGAACAATGATCGAAGGGAAAATTGAATGAGTCACATGTTTTGGAGGAGAGTTGTAGCCTCCATTTGTCTCAAAATTTCCAAGTGCATGAGAAGTGGGATCACGTAGTTACAGAGTTGGAGTGTGCGAATAGGTCGTTGAGAGCTCCAAGACAAAAGATTAGGTCGATAGTTGGTGGTGGCACTTATAGTTGAAACACCAATGGAAAAAAAAAACGGATATCCACAACTAACGGCACAGAACAAGAACAGGGAGAAAAAGGAAATAAAGGGAAAAAAATATTAAAGTACATCCACGCGACTTTGAGTCTCTATTCCCAGTATGCGAGTACTATCCGAGGAGTGAAATGCCTGTGTGCGTTTCGATGCCAGCTAAAAGCTCCTCTCTTGTCGCTAATGCATTTGAGGGGTGTGGGGGTACTGAGAGAGGAAGAGGGGAATTGGGGACAGAGTTGTGGAGAGAGTAGAGAGAAAAAAAAAAGTATCAAAACCCACCCACGAGTGAGTAATTGTTGCCTCGTTTTTTTTTTGTCACCATCTGACTGATTTGTGAGTGTACTTGAAGATTAATTGTTCGATTGAGTATAAGGAAACAATAAACGTCAGACGGCTGGAGTAATGGTAAAAATTCAAGGTAGTGCGTAAATGGATGCTTTTTTTATCTTTCTCTCTTTCTCTTTCACGATAAAATCGAGTTCACCAGCTTAGAGCTCGTAATCCGTATTTTGACAGAGTGACACGGATGTCAGACGTCGCCTCTTATGCAGATGCGGATTGGAAATGAACGACAGAATAATCTCTTTGTCTATCTTGGGTATTAACTCAGTGAGATATATTTGCTGCCTCTCCCTCATCCCTCTTTTTCACATCTCTTTTTTTCATCAACTCTACTGGAGTTGATCTTCCAGGGGTGATCACACTCAAAGCAAACTGAACTGTAATAATTCTGGTGCCATCTAGGGGGACAATTGTGAGATCTTGGGATGTTCAGTGGGTACATAATCCACCGATGATAATTACTATGAAGAAATGGAGAGGCATCTTAGAGAAAAAAAAAAATAACTCACCTCAAATCGCTGGAGCAGAAGATCAAGTATCACCAGAATTTTATTGCTAAGTACAATCGCTTCGGTTGTCTCCGCGTGATCATTAATTGCGCATTTGTAGACTCTACAAATGGAAACAATGTTCCTAGAACAAAGAATATGTTATGAATTTTTTTGTTTTTTTTTTAATTAGTTGAAGAGGGTTTATAATTTATCCTCTGAATAACTCACTTATTGGGTAATCCCTGGGAATTGCTCTGCACATTGATCCCGAGCTGGAGCAAATTGGTGAAGGTCTCGAAGCCGGCAAGTGATTTAAAAGCTTCGGGATCCTGAGGACATGCCTTATTGAGGATCCTGCCGATTTCCCCAAGACAGCGTTCGAGTCCAGCGGCCGCTACATTGGACCAGCTGTTTTTTACATGATTGCAGCTCAATCTCTCCAGCTCCTTCAAATTTCTTCTGAATTTGGCTTTATTACTGGACTCGACCTGACCACAATCCCCCTGAGAGTTCTCCCACTCCTGTCCCCTGGCGCTCATCTTCTGCTTGAGTTTTCTGGAGCGTCTCTTCAGAGCTTTTTGCTTCTCCTTGGATGCTCTGTCATCCCCAGCAGAGACCACAGCCACATCCCTGATCTGAGTGATATTGAACCTCTGGAGATCGTCCCTGGACGCCTCCCTGCCATCGTGCATTTTCTTCACGAGGTCTAAATGACCTTTTCCTTTGAGATGACTGAGGAGACTGAGTTCATTAGGTATTTGAATGCCGCACAGTGCGCATTGTTTTGGTGCAGGGTAGGATTTTAAGGTTGGAGGGATTTCCTCATTTCTGAGGATCGAGGATTCAACAGCTCTCTGTCTGATATGCTCGATATTCTCGACGTGCCTCCTGGCAGACTCCTGCTGCTTCTGAGCAATCTTCTTCTGTAATTCCTCCTGATTAGCCAATTGGGCAGCATGTAGAGCACTCAGCCTCTCCTCCCTGTCTCTCGCTTTTTCTCTGGCCAACTCCTGGCGTTCTTTCTCCCTCTCAAGCTGCATTTTGCCCACCCTCTCCTCTCGCTCTCTCCTCGTCTGTCTCATTTTCTGAATTCTCAGCTGTCTCTCAGCCTCCAGGGCTCTCCTTCTCTCCTCAGCTGCAGCCTCTTTAGCTGCTTTCTCCTCCTGGCGCCTTTGTCGCTCCTCCTGTATTCCCTGAAGGCGTTCCTCCTGCTCCTGACACAAAGCCATAAAGTCGTGGCGCTTATTCTGGGCTTCTAGCTCGTTTATAAAAGCTATTTCCTTCAGCTTGGAATCCTCATCATGCGCCTTTCTCACAACTTCCAATAGGTGTTGACTCCTGTTCTCTTCAGCTCGTTTTAGCTTCATCTCCATTCGAACTCGTTTATCCTCAGTCAATTGGTTCTTCGCTCTTTTAACATCCTCCACTTTATTCAAAAGATCACGGAGTCGTTGGGATTTCTCGAGCAATAATTTCTGGCGTTTGTGCTCAGCACATGCTTGTTTCGCTTGATATCTTCTTAGAGCTTCTGGCAATGACCGTTTTCGAGAGGGTGAGGAGAGCTTTTGGTGAAGCTCGAGAGCCCTTCCAGGATGCCGAGCAACCAGAGCCTTCAATTGCGCCAGTGTATCCACTCGTTCTGCCCAAGACATACCCTCCAACATGTTCTCGTAACGATCCTCAAGGCTTATATCATCGATTACCTCATTCTCCAGGATTTCCTCTCGCTCTTCAATCTCAAGAACCATCTCTCCATCAGTTTCATCGGTCTCAGTGTCAATATCAATTTCAGTGGATTCGAGCTCCTGAATTTGACGTTGTAGAGAAGCTTCCTCATCTGAGAGCTGTTGGGATCTCTGAGAGTCAGCTTCCTCTGTTTTGCGTTCCTCCTCGAGGATGATCCTCTCCCTCTCTGCCTGAGCTGCCATAAACAGCTGGATTTTCTTATCTAGCAGATCAGCTTCATTTTTAAATACTGCTGCTATCATTGACGTTGAGTTTGTATCACAGGCGACATTGGGAGTTAAATTTTCCTTTTTCAATTCATCATCCAGTGGATTTGTTCTATTCTTGTTTCTGGTCTCTGATTTTTCCATCTCAATATTGACTATTACAGTCTCCCCAAGATCTGATTTATTGTCAAGAGCCAGTTCACGGTTATTCTTTTTTCGATCAGTAGAACTCTCGATGGACAAGGCAGGTAGAGAAGTGGCTGTCGTTGGTCGGTGAAACCTGGTAGACATGTTTAAACTGTGGGAACTGCCTCGTCGACACCTGGATCGCACTGTCTGCCAGCCGTCAGGATCCTCCGAGGGTCTCCTTGATTTACCCTCAGTGAGTACCTCAACCGATCCCTTTATCTCAGTGGCGTCCTGAGACTTTAAATTCACCTTGGACTCTCCTGGACGCCTCCGCACCATCACTGACGACCCAGGACGAACCTTGTTGACACTCGATACCTCTCTAGGACTCAGAGTTGTCTTACTCCGTACCATTCTGGGTGTCTCTGATCCTGGAAGAGGATTACCAGCCCTTGGAGTTCTCGTGAGAGTTGAGTAACTGGGGCAAGCTGTAGAAGAGGATGTTCTCGACACCCTTGATGGTGTCTTCGGGGTGTACTTGTTTGACTGCTCGTTGTTATCTGCCCTGATTATCTCTGATAAAGTACCGTTTGCCTTGTTCTTCAGCCTCTCAATTTCCGAGACGTTGTTGGACGATCGTCTGAGTTCAATATTACTGTTTTTCATCTCTCCACTGTTCCTCTCTGTCTCCCTGTTCTCCTTATTGATACTATTATTTTTGGCATCACGTTGGTGAATCTCACTGAAGCTCTTTCGAGTTATCGAGACACTGGTGTTTGCCCTGGTGGTGGAAGGCTTCACTGGAGGTCTCCCTGATATCTTCGACAACGTGGATTTCTCCCTGATAGTCAATTTATCAGAATCTTTGGTGACTGAATTAGAGGTTTTATCCTTCAAGTGTTTGTTGGGATCTTTCTTCGAGACATTTCTATTATCCTTCATGCGTTTGTGGTCCGAGGGATTTAATGACTCTCTCTTCTCCATTCCAGATATTCGATTTTCAATTATTGTATCGTCTGGACTCCTGCAGGTTGGACTCAGCCTCTGGGAGGGACTTGAACATTTGGGATTCCACATTCTACATGGCGAGGTCTTACGAACCTCCCAGGCTAGGGGGTTCCTCCTCAGGGGTGGAGGGGAATTCTCGTACGCCCACTTGACTTTGAACCACTCGATGAGATTGTGAAAGTCCCTGGTATAATTCTCAAGGACCAGAATCACTTCTTTGCATTCTGATATGTTTTCATCTTCTTCGCACGTCTGATAGATACCGTCTACTGCTCTCTGGAGGTTCCCGAAGAGGAAGGCCCAGTATCGTGCCTGGAGCTCCGATTTTTTATCTCGTCCTGTGGATGCTGATCGCACTCGTGTTGTATTCTTTATACTCCTTTTTATCGATGAGTTTGTAACTCGAGGGATGCTTGGTGGCTTTCGAGTGACTCTCTCTGGAGTTGATGATCCCATTGGAACATTGAATGCTACCAAATTTCTAGCTGCTCTACCCTCTTCCTGGATCAGTAGTCGAACGTCAGCCATCGTTCATTTATTCCTGTGGGAATTCATAATTATCAACAATTGATACTCTACTCTGCACAATCGATCAGTATTTTGCTGAGAATTTTGAATTCATCACCAATGGATGACCGGGTTTGTTCATGCAAAATAGGCCATCAACTTTGTGTTAATGTGTGTTGACCAATGGCAGTGACAGCCCACGCAAAAAAAACATGATAAAATTAGCGTGTGAAATCAATCGTTGACAATTAATTAAACATTTAATTTTCAACGATTACGTACATGAATCATAATTCACTGGTAAATCACGTGGATCGTGTTGATATATCTCCTGAGATGACAACAATCTCTTTGCACGCCTGTTGAGATCGATCGCGTGACATCTCAAACAGAACAGCAGAACAAGAGAAGAACAAAAACTCAACCTGACATTTCTCTCAGAGGTCCTTTATTTCGGAGTGAAGTGAGAGGTGAAAAAACAATAATTGCTCATTGTTGGCAACACTGTCGAGTTATCCCTCTCGCTCTTGCTGGGGTACTTGATATTAAATTACGAACAACTGTCAAAAATACCCCGACACCCTGGGAAAAATAATAATCGCAGGGTCAATAATCTCGGGGATCCATGCGAAGGACAAAAATTAAGACAGTTATTAGTGGAATTTAATTAATTGAGAGGAGGGATGAGAGAGATAAAAAAGATTGACAGCGCCATCCAGAGGATGAGTGCGGCGACTCGGTCTCGACGTTCACATTTCATACATCAAAATTAGATTACACGATTTATCAAAAAAATCACCAACTGCTGTAGCCCTGCTTGACTGTGAAAAATCAATTGCATACCTCTGGAGGAAGTCCCAGTGTCCATAACTCGTGGTTTAATAATTAATTATTCCTTATTTTTTTGTCCGTCGTCCATCGTTCGTTGGGGACGCATCGGAGGGTGAAAACCGTCGACTTGGAGGTTTCTAGAAGTGAGAAAGAAGACGAACAAACGACACAGTACTCTGGGAGTACGCGATAGTGCCGTGCTAAGAAGTTACCCGGGTTCCCTTCGACGCGGGGGCATTTATTTTTCGGTTATATAGACACGTATGTACATCATTTAACCAGCTCATTATATCTTCCATTCACACTTGTGTGGTTACTTTAATTCAATTACATCAAATTATTCTCAACCAATTGTTTCCCGGCTAGATACTGCCTGAATCCAAATGATCGGCGTTCTCGGTCATCAGTAATAGTCTTTTTTTTCTCCTTTGTTTGTCAAAGATACTGCAGAGATAATTGCTCCAGTGTTCTTTCTTTTACGAATTTTGGGGATTCTGTTGGAAATCCAGAGACTTCATCTGTGCATAAGTTTGTATTGATTGATTAAAAAAAAGCTACGTACGAGTCATTGAGATTTATTTTTCTCTTTATTTCGGTGAGGTCATGTCTCCAATTTATTGCTCCTCGGATGATTTATTTTTTTAGTGGATTTTGTTTTCTTATTTTTTTTTTATCCTCACCGATGGGGAGCACTTTTTGCCCCATTTTCTTTTTTCTTTGTTCTGGTTGGCCTGTCAATGTCAGCGGTTGAATGAACGGTAAAGTGGCCCTCAGGATGTTGGTTAAGTTTTTGGGTTGTGATTATTCGGATACTGGAGCAATTGGTTGAAGGATTTTCAATGTAGTTGGTTGTTGGATTGATTTGTTGTCGTTTGTAGAATATTCAATGAAATAATGGCTGGGTTGCCAAGGCGGATTATCAAAGAAACACAGAGACTGATGCAAGAGCCTGTACCTGGTATCAGTGCTATACCAGATGATACGAATGCTAGATATTTTCACGTTATCGTCACTGGGCCTGAAGACTCACCATTCGAGGGTGGACTGTTTAAACTCGAATTGTTCTTACCTGAGGATTATCCCATGTCTGCGCCAAAAGTTAGATTTATTACAAAGATCTACCATCCGAATATCGACAGGTAATTATGCAGTGGAAGTAATCCTTTAAAAAAAATCATATTATCCGTATAACGAGAAATAAACGAATTGAAATTGATTGAAGAATACGTTGGTAAATTTTCAATATGAAAATGTACAATATTTAGAGAAATGGTAATGGAAATGGTAATGAAAAAAATATATATATACATATTATTGAATGTTTAGACTCGGAAGAATCTGTCTGGACATTCTCAAAGATAAATGGAGCCCGGCACTTCAAATAAGAACGGTACTGCTATCAATACAAGCACTTTTGAGTGCCCCAAATCCGGATGATCCATTGGCGAACGATGTCGCTGAATTATGGAAAGTCAATGAGAGCGAGGCGATACGTAATGCCAAAGAATGGACTCGCAGATACGCTATGGACAACTGATCTCAGTCGAGGTTGATAAGTCAGCTAATGCGTTGCCCAGTCCACTCAGACACTTCGAATTATAATCCTCCTGGCACACTGGCGACGTTTCATACACCCGTGTCCACAATTTTGCTATGCAAATAATAAAATAACAACAATAATAATAAAACACCGTTTTTTGTAAAGAATTTAAAGAGAAAAAAAAAACCATAAAAATTGATAAAATTTGGGTCTGTATTTTTTACGTGTGCCTGGGAGTTAAAAATATTTCGCACCGTTTAAAAATGGAAGATAAATGCTAAAACTCATTCGTTCGGTCAGAGGAGAGTCTCTTGGGGATTAAATTTAACCAATGGAAGTTCATTGATTTTATTTATCTAGTTACATTGAAAATACGTATCTAGCATCGATGATACGTGATAGTGGACGCAAAGTGGAGATAATTTGAAAAAATTCACTGGAATAATCTTATTCAATTAAGTTCTCTCTGTCTCTCTCTCTCTCTCTTGAAATGTAGATATTTAATCGGGTGGTGATGAGTATGTTGAACGCCCTAATGTGCTGTGCAATGCAGCACCCCTATTCCACATTTACGAATAAGTGAAAAATCATAACAAAATTTTCAATTGACATTACAACTCGATGCATTTGATCCATTGGAAAACAAATTCGATGTGGTGTACAGTATTAAGAATATAAAGTGAACAGAAAACATTCAAATGTGCTTATCAATGTACCCAAAAATTACAAAGAAAAGAAGAAAAAAAAAACAAAAGCAGAATTCAATACTAATGTGACTTCAACTTCCTCTTAATTCTTCTCATTGATTTCCTTTCAGCTCGCGATTAGTTTTCAAAATCCAACACTCATTCCCATTTACTCTTCGAATTGTACATAGTCGACGAATAGCCTAGCAGCTTTGGATAGATAGATATATTTTTAAAATATCATTTAAAAAGTCAAGTTGAAGCATCAGATCGATGAAATATCAATTCTATAGTTACCGAGTGGATTGTAATTCGAACAGATAAGGCTTTCCCTTGAGATTATCACTTATGAAAACGCCTGACATGATGTTGTATTTATAAAAATATGAAACAATTTGAAAAGGCATAAAAAACGTAATAAATGTCATTTGTACTAGATTAATTTGTATTAGAGTAAATTTTGGCGGATTTTCCTTGGAAAATACAATGTGGTTAACCTGACATTAATAATCCTTCCGTTTATTCCATCAAACCAACGAAAGATCAGTGGGCAACGAAAGAAAAATGAAAACAATTTGGACTATCGGTTTTTGAATTCAAAATTACAGTTTATTGTTATCTTTGTGTGGACTAGTATAATAGTTATTACCATATACACATTCAATAGCTCACTGATAATTTAACTTACAGTATATACCACTCACAAACATTGATAAAGATAGTCGTGATGATTTTTTTTTAAATATATTTTTTTTTTGTCAATTATATTTCACTTTTTTTTCAGCGTGCCTTTTCACGACTCCCAAGCTACAACGGGCAAGCTCTAGCGTCATAATAGGATTAATTTCTTAATTTATACCGTTTTTTGTCCCATTCAATTATTTATAACGTTCAATTTATTCCGAGACACTCCTCGAGTTGTCGGCAGACATTCCTGCTTGCAATTCCCATCAGCTTTTTTTAAATAAACAAGTGGAAAGAAAAGAGAACAGTTGATCGAAATCTTGCCTCTAACACATTTTACACGTAATTAGTTCAAGTACATTACAAGTTCATTTGCTTGTCAGTGTTTTTGTTTACATCCTTCATGTCCTAGTCTCTGATCCTAGCAATTATTAACAGCCGACTATTATTTATTTCTCATCTAAGATGGAGTGGTGAATATTGAAGGCGAGTCTCTCAAAACTCCGATATTCATCCGCCATTGAGTCAACATGATGTAAAAAAATGCTTTATTCTTTCTTCTAGCCATATATATTCCCTCCATTATTCTCCCTCATGTGAATTGATAATCTCGAAAGAATGAGAATTATCTAAAAAGAAATTCATAAAGAGAAGATACTCATTATCTACAGGTTGAATTTCTCCGAGATTGATGACAAAAATCGGATGATAATTACTGGACTCTGTCGAGTTCAGGGATAGTAAGGATGATTCAAGCGATGAAATCATAATATCGTGACATTGAGGAGAGTGAATATAGATATTTGCGCCCAATAATACAGCGAAGCAATATCATTCGAGATTTTTCTTTAATGGCATCGTGGATTCATCGTAGCAAACAAAAGCTTATAAATCATTCTCAGAATTTCAGTCGGGGTGGCTAGAACAGTCGAGTATTTTCATTCTTACTGGTTCCTCGTTTATTTTAAATTGAAAACTATAATATACTTTTCACCTTACCCTTTAATGACTAGATAAGTTTTTGAACTTGTTAGCCACCCAATATAACATCTCGTTTGATCCCATACCACACACTCTGATCTATTCCAATTCTCATCGAGGATATGAATTAAAAATCTCTACATTATTCTCTCTAATCGATAATTCTTGCTGTTTCCCCAATTACGTAGAGAACAATTCATAATAATTCATTGAAATAAATGTCTGATATTTTCTTTTGAATCAGGATCATTGATTTCGATCTACATGAGCGTTATTTACCTAAAAGAGCAGCATCAGATACAAATGAATATTATTCTCCCACAGAATTCAATCTGAATGACTCTTTTCGATATATCAGTCTGTTGAGTGTTGTTTAGATCGAAATAAAATAAAAAATTCATAACACTCGTGACTGCTTACAGTTATTCCGCGACGAAATTTAACGAGCTTTCAAGTGAATTGGAAGCTCAAGTGGTGATAAAATGAAGAGAACACATTTAAGGGATCGAAATGTACGTTGTCTTAATATTCTTCTCATGCTCCTCTAAATATCACGTTATTTGTCATGAGGCATATAAATTCAAAATTACAGATTACACAATATACTTGTCATTTTACACGAATTCATCTGCTTTTTCAGTAAAAATCAACAGAGTTGGGCACCATAATATTCTTGTTATCCCCAAGCAAACTTTCTTAGCTTATATAGAAGTTAAAGGAATGTGTAGATTCATCGAGCTTTTTCATGTTCAAGGACTGGGAATAGAGTCATTCTTTTTAGAAATACTTTGACTACATAATTTGTCATTAAATCCGTAATATACACGATTTCATTTGTTATATTATCTGTTAGCCCTGCTCAAGAACTTGAAATGAGCTTGTTTGTGCTATTTATAATAGTGTGCATTGAATTTATCTATCATCTTCCTTGGCGTATTTTTCTCGTCAATGTGAATCTCTATAGCAGTTTGTGTTTTAAATCGTCAATTGGACTTTCCATTGCAGTCGAATAATAAATATCATTGCAAAGCTCTTCTCCTTAATTCTTGTATTGAGCCAAACTGAGCATTTGCTCTAATTTACATTTGAAACCTAGCGTTACAAGCCTATCAAATGCACTAAAATATTCATTATCCAGATATTCCAGAAACTGCCATAGAAAATCCCATCTGCGTCCTGATAAAATGTATTTATATTATGTATATGTATAATATATATATATATATATTATATATATTTCATATTTATATATTTATAGATAGACTTCTTCTATGATAATTATATAAATAATGCTTCAGATTAAATACTTAGTTAACGTATCTGCATTGTTCTCTCTTTATGTATTATTCCGTACGTTTTAGGGTCTTAGGATCACGCGATTGTTTATCATTTGGAACAAATCTTTACCGTGGGGTAGGAGTGGATATAGTAGTGGATGGCGGATCGTATTGTCTGTTCACTACGTTAAATCGTCAGTTTACCGACAATTTACTCCATTAACATGTTTTGGTTTAATTCTATTTGTTTCTCTCCTGTCATTTTATTTTATATGTACACTGGGGACTCTTGACCCGTCAGTAGCCTGAACATTGATGTTGGCATTGTCTTCATGAGAATCTGAAATCAGAAAGATCATTTTTTTTTTTAAATTGAATCGTTAACCAGAAATTTGTCCAGACGTTTACCCTCATCCCACGAAATTATTAATTCCTCACCTCTCCAACTGACGTAGCAAGAAGATTGACTATCTTTTCATGGGGCACAGCTACAACACTCTGATTGTTAATCTCAATTATCCTGTGGCCAACTCGTACACCGCCTCTCTCAGCAATTCCACCCCTCAACAAACTACAAATAACACCATTCTGTACACTAAATCCAAGCTGATATTTGGTGTCTGGCCTCTTTATCTTGACCTCAACCACAGGTGCACAAGGTACAACAGTCAGTTTAACAACTGTCTGATTTTTAGAATTCTTTATGTAAGTCTGACACGTGGAGAGTGGCAGACCAACGAGAGATACACCATTGATAGCAATAATCTGATCACCAATGTTCAACTGACCGCAGCGTGCCGCTGCTCCAGCGGGTGCCAAATTGGCGATAACAACTGTTGGCAGCATCGAACCCCATCCCGACTCGACAATAACAACTCCTAATATTTCTCCCTTGGCCTTGGGCACAACAACTTCCTTCTGCATCTCCTTCTTGGCAAACATCTGCAACTCGTCACCAAATATCTCCTGGGAGTTCAGCACCTCCTGGTAGTCCATTTCCTTGACAAAACTGTGATCCTCTATTCCATTGGCTTTTAGAAATTCCATATAAGCAACTTGAAATGCCTGGCCAATACTCTGGGCAATAAACTGGGCCTCTTCACTTTCAAATACGTGACATATCATCTTTGGCGTTCTATTTATCTTCGGTGCTTCTTCCATTTCGTGAGGGACAAATCGTCTGCGTGCCATGAGTACCACCAGATCACCGATATCAGCAATATATGATATTGTTCTCAATGCATGGTCCATCATAATTTCCTTGAGATCAGTGTTGAGGACCATTATTTTTTCAGTTGATATGAAGAGATCCACTTCTGTGCTCGGCTGGGTCTCACCGTCTGGTGCCTGCAATATTTTTTTATTCAGAAAAAAAAATTCATCTCCTTCCCTACGATGCACTTCATTAAATCATACAATTTACTCACCAGTGCCTAAATCAATAGAAGCAGCATGTAAGCGAGTTATGAGTTAGTACGGAGCTTCAATGAGTTTATGTACCTTTTATCAACTATTACAATGATCAGATCAGAGGAATAATGCGTTAATAATCAAATTATTCGTAAATTAATCAACTAAATTATAATTAACGTAACTAAACTTATGGGTAGTTCGTGGAGATGACTGATATTCATCGAGGAAAATTATGATGTATTTCCTTGGAGCGATTTGTACCTTCAACTGAATCGAATTTTTTTTTTCTGTACTGCAAACCGTTTTCAAATCAAATTGATTAAAAAGCCGTAATGCAGAAAAATTTTCATCAAGTAACAACATTCATTTACAACACCAAGGCGTAAACGGGGTGCAGTCATAAAAATCCTGAGAAAATTGTGACGAATAACGAGATAATCCTAAATATAATATATCAGTGTCATTATATAGCACTTGAACTCGGTTTGCAGCATAATAAACAATAAAGGGCGAAAAGAAAAGATCAAGTTTCGATAGAGTAATTGAAAGTCATGCTAAACCAAATATAACGATTGAAACAAGCATTTAAAAAAAAAGGAAAGAGAGAGAGAGAGAGAGAGAGAGAGAGAGAGAGAGAAAGAGAGGACGAGACTCGAAGCCACGACAGTGTTAAAAAAATATCAATTATCGGAAGGAAATCGAAAAATGTCTCCTGTTGTCGAAAATTCATTGATTCAATAATTTTGATAATTTGAAGAAAAAAAGAATTGTTTCTGTTTTTTTTTTTAAAGGGGAGTGAGGGGCGGACCTTGATTTTAGTGACAGCCTCCTCGACCATGTGCTTCTTAAGGCGTTTACGCCGTTTTCTTCCCCCTTCCTCTTCCACCTCGACCGAACCGAGAAAATGTAGCCTGAAAACGGTGGTAGGACCAAGCTGTTGGCCGCCGATTGGGACAGCCAGTTTATTTCTCTCCTTTTGGTTGTCCAACGGATGTTGTTGTTCTGGCTGTACCCCACCGGCGACACTGCCTATGAGCTCCTCACTCGAGTCACAATCCTCATCTTCAATGCTTCCTTGTGATGCAACACTGCAGCGCCCATAGCCATGCTGGCCTGGACCATAGTTTAATAGAGTTGACTGCATTGGGACTGGCTCATCCTTCGTTATTGTCATTCGTCAATAGGTGATGGTATCGATCAGTTGATATCGCGCGAAGGGCCAAACAGAACAAACAAACAGAAAGGCTCGGCTAGTTGTCAACAATGCCAATAGCAAACCACCAAATAAGGGTGCCAATTAGCTAATGCTCTCGTCACTCTTCCCATGGATTTTTACATTAACTTTAGGAGTCTGAGACAATGCCCTTGCGAGTATCAACCATTCAATCGACAAATTATTCAGCTTTTGCAGCAGCGTTAAGGAAATAAATTCAAGCCGGTGTTTGTTACTCAGACTTCCTAATTTCATTTTCAAATGTTATTCAATGGGGGAAAAACACTTTGATTGCCACTGGAGCTCAACGAGAAGCAATCAAAGATACATTCACCAATAACTGGGGGACTTTATTTTGTTTTCTTCTTTTTTTTTTGTTGAGTAGATGACATACATTTTGAGATTTAGAAACTTTCACGGGGACGGCAAGGCAGCGTGCAAGCTTGGACTTGTATTCTCACAAACGAAACTTTTCCAATTATTGATTCTAGCCAATCGTTCGGAGAATAAAACTGAGAAAAAAGTTGTCCGTCTATTTTACTTTCATCACCATGCTTGCAAAATAATTCGCACGACCTTTTATTCTCAATTTATTTTCTGTTAATTCACGTATCGTACTACAATTGAAAATTTTCCATCAACATTCGATGATAAATATTACATAGCTCCTGGCACAATGCAAATTAAATTCAAATACCGAGGGGAACAACAATGCTGTTGCATCAAAGCTACGTTAATTTACCTAAATTAACTTCTTCACACAGGCAAATTAGGAGATCAATGTAAATATTGAAATTTCACTTTTGTCTCTCATGCCTATCTAATTTCTTTCAAATTCAAATAAACGACGTCATTAACAAAACGTGTGTGTGCGTATTCGAAAGCTTTGGTGGTCGAATAATGTCAAACTACGAGAAGAAGCCTAACTAACTGGCAGGCAGACGATTCGTCAATAGCAATAACCAATAATCAAGTCAAACGAGCCAAACATCCAACAGACATAACTCAAATTATATCCAAATAATGAATAACAAATTAACACTGAGAAGATGACAGTGTTCGGTGGTCGGGTGGTGTTTTTTAAATATATATATTTTTTTATTCGTGATGTGAGGAAGGGGGTCGCTACACTGGAACATACAGGCCTCTTTGCATAACGGCCATCCCACAATTAATAATTTTATACCAGTTGTCGAAATAACTCGACAATAATCACAAATGAGCTAGTGCGTTCGAAATCGGAATAAATTAATAATCACTCAGCGTGGCTCCGTATTGTCTCATTATTCAGAAAGTTCATCTAATGCACTAATCAACGAAACTAACTCAATTAATCTTAATCTAATAAAAATTATGAAAGAGCTTTAATAAACTACCGCTGAGATGATACATCTCCTCTAAACACTGTCCGAATAATATTTTTAAGCAATATTTTTGGTTGCGATTTCTTGAGGTAATATTTTTCGTTGTGTTATTTTGATAGGTAAACCTTATCATCATCTTCCATCAACTCTATTATTTAAAACTAGTAAATACTTTGTCATGATTAAACATAAATATTTAAATAGGTATAGAAGCATTCGTAACATGCCACGGTTTATGCTTTCCCATCAATATTAATTACCAATTGTCCCCCCGATGTAAATAATCATTCGCGATAAATGAGAAGATATTATGTACAACAGTAGCGGTTACGGTTCAATGAGTGAATTCCGATTAAACGTGTTATCCACAGAGATGAACATAAAATTAATGAACAGGGAGATGAAAACTACTCTTTACCCATTGATCGATAATTTTGCCTCGATTAATAAATTCAACTACAGATATCCCATTGAGTGTAATCGAAAATGGCAAATTATAATACACTTGCCCTGTCAAGATTGAATATATTGTTTTATCGTCATGTCGACATCATACCTTTATCCTGGACACAGCCTCCTCTGCCTGGCACATCCTGGTGGACTTGGTGGGTTGTCCCTCGCAGACGAGCTGCGTTGATCCGAGGTATCTCGCTCGAAAGAGAACACCCTCGATGAGAACTGAGGGATCATCCAGGAGTCCTGCAAGTGGCACACAGACACGGGTTTTACTCTCAATATTCTCAGCATCTTTAATTAATGTTCCAAATGTTATGACGTAGTCCGTCGACGCTCGAAAGAGCTTAACTACGCTCTCGGCGTCCTGAATAACACCTGGCCACTCAATGTCAGTCATTACTATACGCTATCGTTAGAATTTAGTCACATTGACGAGAAAATTTCTTATCGCTCTGGGAGATACTGCATTAACTGTCTAAACTTTCGTATCTATATCGAAACTAATCGCTTTATGATGGGGAATTGATAAAGCCGTCAATTCCTCTTGTGATGGCTATTCAAACTATTGACATAACAGAGTGAGAGAGCTATTGAAATCAATTCATCGAGTTTAGAAGCCAAAGAAGGACGTGCATTATGATGCTCAGGGGGGGGATACGAATTTTCTATGCATTCCGAGTTGAGCTCTTTTAGTTTAGGCATGAGACATCATTATTTTTCCGTTTCACTCTGTCAGTATTTCCTTACGACACGTGTGATTTGTGACGTATGTGATGAAGATAATTGATCGATATCTTAATTGACGAGCAGATGGTTTTCCCAACGTTCAGTGGAGGTCAACTTTATCCGTGAAGTACAATGCGAGATAATTATTTCGTAGGTAATTTTGTATTTTATTAATTTATCTAGCATATTTCTTCACTAGGCCGTTGGGGACTTTTCCAGTGATTATGGGACGAAGCCGAGAAATGTAAACAGAATTGTCAGAATATACTACTTGGGCGGAGTGACTCACGGACTGAGTGGTAAAAAATTTATTTTCCAACTCAGATAATTTCGAAAGTGAATTATAGTTTTTAGAAAATACTCACCACGTGTTAATGTCGATTGAGACAATATTTCCAAAGGCGTAGGCATTATTGGGGAATTGAAAACGAAAATATTAGCTTGAGTTAGAAATCGATACATGCATGATTGGGCATATCGATACTTGAAACATGAAGAAATTACCTTCCTTGTTCCTACTCTTTTTCTTCCCATCTTTATCCTGGAATAAACACAGAATTCATTGACGATTTTTCATTATTCGATATCTCACGACTAAAGTTGAGAAATAGATCTCAAGAATTGAAAGCAAAAAAAAAATGCCACGTGCAAACATTGTAAAATTAATCGTAGAGGAGATAGTGAGTGTCATGCAGAGGAGTGTGCACTGCACTGTAAAGCAGATGTGATATGGAAGGTAGAATCAATCTCGAGGGTCTAACAGACGTTAGGTAATCGGTTTCTCGATATGTTTGAGATGCACGAGTCCATTTAGACTCTGAAGCGACAAATTATGGTGAGAAAATCGTGCCCTGATGAGGAATATAAAGTCTTCTAAAGGAGTATAACAAATTCTTGTGTAAATAATCCGACATGTTTATCATTGAAACATGCCAAAATATAAGCCGAAATGGAAACTAGTCTAGTTGATAGAAAAAATATATCAGTGAAATGATAAAATAATTGTAATAACATCGAGAGGATGTAGAAGAAAAATCTATGAAAAATAAGGAAATTGCAAAGGTTGTGTGGCACCTTTTTCACCTTTCCGCTGGACTCCTTGAGGCTCTGGGTGGGCGAGGGAGAATTTTTAACCGGGGTCTTCTGGGGACTCGTCGTTATTTTCGTGGGTGATGTTGTATCACGCTCATTCGAGGGCGATTGTATAACCGTTACAATAGGTGGTGGAGACATTGAGGATGAGGTTGAGGGTAGTGGTTCAGGTGGAGTTAAAGCCTCTAATGGAGCTACACTCAAGGCTTTTGGTGGGGTTTGTTTTGGTGTTACGATTTTCGTATTCATTGATGGTAGCATTGTCCTAGTTTTAGGCTTCCGCCACCCCTGCATCAACATCAAATGACCATAAAAATGATTAATTCCGTGGTTAACAGCAAAATCACTGGCACGAAACTACGTGCGTGTTACGAGGAAAAGTATGTGCACCCAATTACCAAAAGAATTTTTTTATAAGAGAGTAATGAGTTAGGTTGGTTTATATTTATTATTGACATACCTTGTCGTCATAAAATCCTTGATCATCCGTTCTCTGTTGTCCCAGAAGTCTGTCTGTCTCGAGATCAGTGTCAGCCTCCTCCTCGTCGACGACTTCCTCCACTTCCACTTCATTATCGTCCTCACCCCTACGCGCCTCGGAGTCTTCACTGTTACTCTCTGTGCACATCCTCCGCCTGCCATCCAACATACTAAAATTTAGTTAGATATTTGAGGATTAAATCTCGTAGTCGAGTGGAATAGGTGCTTAAGGCATTCAGGAGGAGGCACATAACCTCAGGAACTTTTCAGCAGAATTGATTTCTCGAATACTTGAAAGAGTTGGATGGTGAGAATAAAAAGAGCTTCATATCCCACTCAACCAAGGTCGTTGAAAGAGAAATAAAGAAGGCCCATGATTTAAAATCATTACCTTGGAATCCATATAGGTGAGACATTGGGCTCAGGTGGATCCTCCGAGGGTGATTTAACTGGTAATGTCTTGGTCTTTTGCAGGGCCATTCTAATGTCCTTGATTGCAGCCTCAACTTCACCACCAATTTCAAGGTTCATTGTCTGCCTGCCCTGAGGTGCAGGCGGTGGTGGTGTCCCCAATGGATCCAGACCATCAAGATGGAGTTCATTCGTCTCGTAAGAATTCTCTTTCTGGGCTATAAATAAATCTGGTGACGTCGCTTTAAGTGTCTGAAGTATATCTTTCGTTACATTGAGACTGCTGTCCTTTCCAGTTTCAATATCACCACCCAGTATATCATTTCTCGTTCTTTGAATAATTTCCTTCTCAATTTCATTGATCTGTCTCTTCATCAGCATCACTGTGGGATTATTGTTATCAGTATCACTGGCATGCCCACTCGATAAACCATCCTCGAGTACTGGCATGCTTGTATATATTCTCAGTGAGTCGGAGTTGTTACCGAGATCCCCAACAGATCCCAGTAAGCCACTAGCTGGCAATAACTCGTTGTCCATCATCATGAGGGACATTTCACTATCCAAATCCCCACAATTGCTATCGCAGTCTGTTGTCTCTGGGCTGAGGGTAAAATTACGTGAATGTCCAACCTGAAGGCCAACTTCGGTCTCACCCAGATCACCACTGCTACCGGTACCCACTGAGAGGTCTAAAAAATTATTCTCATGCTCTGTTGTCTGCAAGGAAAAATAAAAATCTAAGATAATTATCCAGTTGTTGGGATAAATAAAGATTTCCTCGAGTTACACAGGATAACTTACAGATTGAGGATAATCAGATCGCTGCTTCTTGGGTGATTCATGTACCATAACCTCCTCAGTATTGGGTAATCCACTGGCTAGACGTTGTCCAACGTAGGAGCTTCCCCCTTGTCGTCGAAGTTCATAGTCCAGATCCTCGATAACAAAAGGAGAATAATGTAGTTTTAAAAAATTAACCAACTCAACAACTGAATGAGTGAAGTTGAAGGATTCAATCCCCAACTCTGTGTATTCTAATTGAATTTACCTGGAAGGGGAATGTCTCTCCATTGTTTTCCTTCTCTTCGTTGGGTGGTGGACACTTGAAGAATTCCTCTAGGACCTTACGTGTCTCCGAGAACTCGTAGAGATAATCGAAAGTACTGCCACCAGGTGTAACAAGACTAGACAGATTATCAGAGCTGAGAAATGATGGCTTGAGGAAATCCTCCTCCTCTTCTTCTTCTTCCTCTTCGGGCTCTGGTGTCTGTGATTGTGGCTCAAGTTGTGGTATCTCCTCTACCGTTGGTGATACCACTAGAGTACTACTTATCTCATTGGGAGGACTCGATGTTTCAAATAATATTTCAGTCGTATCCTCTTTCGTATTTGAAAGATAATCAGTCTCCTTGTCCTTCTGATTTGGCGTTGTTGGTAATATTCTCTGGGGAAAACCTGGCCTAGGTGTCATGTACATTGATGGTGATGATAATAAACTCGGTAATCGTGAATTTTCACGTACACCATAACGACGTGGACTACCCGAATACTGGGCTATCGGTAATTCACCGATTACTCTAGCAACTTTGTGATTACGTTCTGGTGATGGTGAATTTGCTTCACAGTCACTTGCTGGCGTTATTACCTGGCAAAGTGAGTAGATATATTAGACAAGATAACTCGAGTGTAATGCAAGTGAGTTTCGTTTTTGCATACATTAAGTTTAAAGACTGTGTTTTTGAATTTAAATGAGGGTGCTAACGAGTGTCGTATGCATTTGCTGGCAGCTGCAACAGTTATGTAAAATTCTAAATCGTGCACATGTTTGCTGGTGGGTAGAGAGTGGCAGCCTTTGCTCTGGCAAGAATGAAAGGAGAAAAGTATCTTCAATAAATGGTAAGAGAAATTTGTAGAAATTTCAATACTTCTCGGGAGGTGAGAGGAGCTCCCTAATTTTTCAAGCAGTGTTAAAAATTCTACTGGATCTCTGCATTTTTCAGAAGTGGGGAGACGCTTTAAACGAGACTAAACTTGTTTCGGGGAAAAAAAAAAAACAAGTCTTTAAAGTTTAGCGTGCAGGAGAAGAAGTTGATGTTTAAGTTGAAGTGGAAGGCGCAGTGGACGCAGGAGGGAAAGATCTGGATGGCCTCACCTTAAAGAAGTCTGAAGTATTTCTAGGATAAGTTGAGGTGGGGCTCGGAGTACTTCCAACACTGGACTCCAACGGCTCCGAAGGGATCCTCCGGACATCCTCCTGCTCCGAGTTCAAAGAGGTATTAATCACCTGCTGAGCATTCGTCGTACCCAAGTCCAATCTCAATCCCTGCCAATTGTCATCGATATCATCGAATACAACGACCTCCCCATCACTCACAATAGCCATACTTCTTGCTGGTGTCGTATGATTAGACTGATAATCTACACAATTCTTCGGCAATCCATAATCCAAATCGGTAATACTTTTCGGCACGGTATACTCTACATTATTACTATTTAGAACCGAGTCATAGTTTATAATACGATTGCTTCGCGCAGCCTTTGGTGAATCATAATCCAGAATGGATTTTGTTGTGTTACGTCGTACTGAATGCACTTCGGATGAGAATACTGTCTCTGTTACTTCACGATTTGAACGTTGTCTGCGTGCCTCGCCACACCTTTAAATTTAAATTCAGAGGGTATTTATGGGTATGAGAGTATGCGAATAATTCATGCTAATACTTCATTTTTTCGGGCCCCCCAAATTTTCAGTCATTAAATTCATCTTAATGAAATTTTCTTAAAACAGTGCATTGTCATCCAATCAAATTACTTCTGCAAAATTACACTAACTGTCAGAGTATCACATATTAACTGTCAAAATAGTCTAATTGGATTGAATAAAGTGCACTGTTTTTTAATTCAGTCAGGGCAATGGTTCATTTATCGTAGTTATATTTTACCAGAAGAAGAGAAATTGCGGAATGATTAATAATCGTAAGAGTACCTGCTCCTAAGTTCCCAAACACTCTGCCTGTTGGGTGATTTACTATTCTTCTTGACAGTCAACTTATTATCTGTCTGCGAATCATCATTAGGCACGGACTTTGATGAGGTCAAAAAACGAGGCTTCCTAGCAGCAACTTTACCTCTACTCTGTGAGAATACTTCCCTTCCACCAGCAATTTCGATAATCCTGTCCCCACAAACATAAACTACTTGATTATCTCATCACAAAGTCATCCAACAGAAATTATTATTCTGACACAACGGATTCAAATGACTCCATACGTTTGAGTTGGCATGTTGTTTTTTTTCTCTTGCTTTGTTTTTAACCACTGACCAACCACTTGTTAATATGAGTCTTATAATTCGGAGACTAACCTTCAAAACTGCGGTATTTTCTCGAGATATGGTACAATTTTTCAGTGGTAAAAATTCACCTTTAAACTATGTTTACGTATAAAAGGGGGAAAAAATGATGTATTTTGATTAAGATTAAATCATAGATTGTTGATGTGGCTGCGCTCGGTCTTCATTCAGACTGCAGTAAAAAGAGATGCAGAAATTCCAGTCAATTCACCGCTTGATTGCGCTGCAATCGACTTCCGTTTCATTCTCACTTTACTCTCAAAATGAAATTTATGTATTTCTCGTATTCGAGTATCGATAAAAATGAAAAATGTTCTCTAGAGGACACCTTGAACTTACGGATCAGTTTTCACAGACTATATCAAGACCATCTGATTGCCACATGCAACCGCCAACCCAAGTTTTATTTCTACTCTCTCCTATATTTTTATATTCATATTTATAAATGATAATTAATTTTATCATAAGTTTGTGAAATAACAAGTGAAAAATCTCACCGAGAATCGCGCAGTTTATAACTCCTGTCCCCTTTAGCTGATGTGAGAATGTAGACTGGTCCCTCCTCGGGTCCACTGTCATCATCCTGTTGGGACTGTCCCTGATGATCACTCCCCCCGATGCTCCCATAATTGTGTGCATCCTCACTCCGACCAGACGCTGACGACGAGGAACTGGAAGACGTTTGCTTGGCAGACGTAACAGTTTGCTGATTGACCTGTAACTGCGGATTCTGTCCTGTCTGACCCTCGAAACCCGGCATCACGCCAGCCGTCCTACGGGACACCGAACCTGTTTTTTTCCTTCGACTCGTCCCTCGTTTTCTACACCTACGGACGCAACTTGGTATACTATACTAAAAATACTCAAAATAAACAGGAAGTAATATCAAATAAACTCAACAAATAATAGATTCTTTGATAATAATTATCCCAAGAGTAACATCATAGGAAGCTAAAGGGATCTCTTGGAGATAGCAATTATGTGATTTGCACGATAAATAGATGTGTAAATAAAGGATTGAGCTCGTTGAATATCTATGTATAATGTGTATTTTTCTTGGCGAGGGTGACGCGGTGCAACAGGAGTGTCAATTGAAAGGCCCTTTTCCTTCATGTATATTTCCATCTCCACAGCAAAATGAGAACGAGGAAGCTAGGGCAGATGTGGATCGATGTTGGTTGCTCCAATTTTCCAACAGAGGGTGGAGGAATTTTGCGGAAATTAACGTGCGTCCATAAACACAAGGCTTAAATCTAAAGAATAACTCAAACATTTGTAATTAAACCGAGACAAATAATGAACGTAAATAAGCACACATATATCTCGCCCAAGTTGCATCCTCAGATTAAAATCTGAATAATATCTGAATCGTTACGCGATCCTCCGTTCAATTTGTCTAGATGCACTACTCTACTGGATCTGTTATTATATGACTTGCCTGTCGGTGGTGTCGTGCTCAAGATCTATCATGTCGTCAACTGGATATCTACTTGCACCAGTGGCAATACTTGCTGGCGACGACGTGGAGGACGACAGCGTGCACGTATACGTTGCTGACTCCTGTTTCTGCACGTTATTACGATGTTCATGCGGCTGATGCTGATTTAACTGACGCTGCGTATCTGTTGTCCCCAACGGCTGGGGATTACCAGATCTAGGCCGGCATTTTGGAAACAGACGATTAAAGTCAGCGTTCTCCAATATCAGACTTGTCATCGCCAACGTGTTGACATTTTCCCTGACTCGGTTTCCATTATCTGAAATTTATTAAAAAATCATCAAGCATTTGGTTATCATCCGTCTTTTTATAATCAATTTCAATTACTCATCCAGCACCAGGATTCATCATTCATCCTACAGCTATTCATCTTTGTTATCCGGAGCTAGAAATTTTGGGGGCGAATTATAGGGGTGGGAATCTGGTCATCTGTTGGTATAATCGTAGGGGGAGTGTTGAGCCTCGGATTTGCTAAAATATGCCTGCATAACAGGATTGTCACCAGGTCGAATCACTCACACGGACATTTTTCATTCTGGGTTATTCAGTGCCGAGGGAATGCTCTCGAATTTGTCAACGCATTCCTAATGAATGCCTAATGAAAAAACCATGTAGCTTCATTAATTTGCAGTAATTGGAGCTGAGGAACTGAAGCGTTGGGATTTTTTATATCGCGAGTAACATCAATAGCTCAAGTGTCCTGGTGAGCTTCTCGACGATCCTAAATCGATCAACTATCAACCGATACCACCAATTATCCCATCAGGACTAAATTTAAGTACCACCAGCATAATCGACCGAGCAATTGAGAAAGTTCGATCCCTTGCCCCGGGCAAAACTTTCACGATAACTTGATGAAAATCTAATGGATGTTTTTCCTCTGTATCAGATGCATAAATTCAGACAATATGACGACAGCTCGGTGGCAATATTCCCGCACGACAATCCTCTCATTCCCCTCGAAGTCAAGTTTCAAGCGTCTACTTTGAGGAAACTTGAAAGTTTTCGTGGAGCCAGAGCACTAGACTCCTTGAAGCCCTGTATTTCACGCGTTGAGACGTCAACACCGTCTCCACTTGGATTTGTGAAAATTGAAATTAGTAATTGCAAGTTCTGGGAGTCGATGAACCGTCAAGCTAGAGCCATTAAGGAGCTAGACTTGTCTCAAGAAGTTTTGATCGTTCAGCGATAGATTAAAGGAGTAATAATTGTTATTATCCCCCCATCAAATAATGCGCGATTAAAAAATTCGTTAATCTGTCTAAAAAAAAATCGAGGTCAGAGGATTTTCGAGGATTTTATTGAGGCTGATGAACACATGAGTGGGTTTCACCCAAGGGACAGGCGATTGCATCACGGAATCACTTCGGGATTGGTACTGTGTCAAACCCACTTCCCACGTTCATCCTATTTTTAAATTGAATTATTGCTCCAGCTATCGAGAGATCTCCAATGCACTTTTGTCTTCGATATGCTCTTATAGTGATCAGTCTGGGGTAATGAGCCTGGTGAAATTCAACCCGAGATGTCTCTCGTCTCTATTCAACGTTATCAGAATGCAAGCAGTGAATTAATGACGAGCAATGGGAATCCAAGTCCCTCAGACTTCCAATTGGGAAATCTTGTCGTTTTAACGGTGAAGAGCAATCGTTATGGGTAAAGAGAAAAAGGCTGATCGAGCCCCCGAGGGTTCCCTCGGGGATTCAAGACTGAAAACCAAGGGAGGGCGTCAGGTGGCCAGCAAAACCACACCATTTCGTCTGCCACTGAACGTGATACACCCTCCAAATATCTCGGGATATTAAATCGCCGACCCAATACATCTACTTTCCACTTCACGCTGTTGGAAATTTATCAAAATTTCAGTGGCATAATCTCCCGAATTTTCAATTATCTGAGTTTCCATTCCATTTCAATTGAAATTATTGGACTGAAAATTCAGACAAATGACTGCAAGTATTTTTAACATGTCATTAAAAATAGAGAATCCCCAGAATATTCAACAAATTCAATAATTCACAAGACTTCTGCAAACCCGCTGTCACTTTATTATTGATAAAAATTCCAGCTTTTCCAATAATACAGATATATAAAAGATTAAAAAAAAAAGAGTCAAGAACAGTCTCGTTGATCGCACCGAGGGATATATATTTTGAAATATTCCAAGTGTCCTATATTACCCCGCAAATCGACTAATTCCTTTTTGTTAAATGCCAATTTTTATCGTCGGAAGAACATACCCTCTCGAAGGCTGAAACCCGCCTGAGCAAACGACCGTTATAAACGGGAATGAGGGAATGAGGGAAGGGAGAAAAAAATCCTGGGGGAAGGGGATGGCACAGGCGGCACGCCAACGTGTTATGGCCGGTGATAGGGCGGTGGATGTTGGGTGGTGGGTGGTGGGTGCTGTAGGGTGGGGGCGCAAGGGTGGCTTTATACGTAGAGAGAAACGGAATCAATAGGGGGTCACTGGCATCAACAGATACAATCGGCACATTTCGAGTGGTGCACGAGGGCCTCAAGTGGTCCTCCTCTTCCACCACCCCCTCAGAACCTCTCACCATTTATCCAGAAACACACGAAGGACGCATATTCAATTGTACTCGAGTGGACGTGCTCTCCCACTCGACAATACCCTCTCCTCAATTTATTTTTCTTTTTTTCTCACCCCTGATTTTCTCACCTTGTGAGATCCTTAAAGGCCGAAGCTCTTGGAGGGTGGCAAAAGGACTGGCGCCGGCGCGGAAAACCAACTCGTTAATTTTTCATCCACTTGAGTCGACCAGTTTTCCACTCCACGTGTTTTTTTTTTTAAAACAATCTTTCTGGTTGTTTTTTCACCCCCTTTGCGCTCACTGCGTGTTGCCCGAGTAAATACTTTTCAGCAGCTTCCAGTGGATTGAGGAAGTATCAAGATCAGTTTTTGTTTTCAAAGGATCTTTTACCACCGCCCATTGTATTGAGAATTTATCGACAGTCACGAGACCATTGAGTTCTCTCGCATTTCATTTCAATTACTTAAAGTGGTCGCATTGGATTTTTATCGGTGATTTTTTTTTTACTCCAATTGTTGGCTCATTGAATGGACCTGTTCGCGTGTCCGGAGGTGCTCCATGTGGCACGAGTCCTTTCCATCACATTAATAATGATTTTCATAATCAAATCATCACTGACGAGCGCTTAAACGACTGCCAGGAGTAGAGTGCCAGTGGAAAATGTGGCTACACAATAAATTTGCTGTCTATTCCAGTGGTTGAGGGAGAGATAGGGAAGTCGAAGCACCTCAACCTCTCACACCCATTTCACCACTAGATATTCTACGTGTGTTTGTTGGAAGCACCATCATGCCAGTCGAAAAAGCCCATAGAAGTACAGGGGAGAGTCACACCTCTCTCGTCTTTATCACTCTTCCTGTTCCTCTCATACCTCCCAATCCCACCCCCAGAAACGTACGCAGTGGAATTCACCATCGAGTCCAGAACGAAGCCAGACAGTTTAAAGGGGGATAAAAAAGGGAAAATGAAAGTTTAGAAAAAATATAAAAAATATACAGAGAGAATAAGGTGTCTCATGTGGGTATGGGACACGAGACACTAGTCGATCGATCGATTCTCTTCTATTGGCCGGCAGCCTGTCGCTTTTATTATATGTGCTACCAGATGGTAATATATCCATTTCTCCACACAGAGTTTTCGATAGAAATGGCATTGTGCTACTGCATACCACGTACATTACCACGTAATTCATTAATTTTTTTGTTAAATAATTATTCATCCTCCAGACGGCAGTGAAAAACGCTTGAATAAAGAATAGTCAGTTCGTCGAGCAGATGACTGCACGCTGCCTCGAGCATCCCCCCATATTTCCAATAATTTCTAAGATATTTCTAGTTTAATCGATAAAACTCCATTTCATTATTGCCGCTTTCAGGAGTACATCGAAATTATCATCAAAATTATCAGTATCTCCTGGGGATAAAGAGCATTTGGGTTACAGCAAAAAATAGTGTCAACAGTCTCTTCATTAATCCCAATCTCATTAATTTATCTGATACCCCTGATGGCATGTCATTTGCAATTAAGATTTTTCACGTTATTCTTTTTATCTATTTTTAGGGAAGCCCCCAGCAAGGGATGTCTGATGGAGTCACATGGAGAATTGTCGCAGCCATACCTTGGGCTCAAGCATTTTGGAATTTTACCAGTCCCTCTGTCTTCCAAACCCTATGAGAATTTCCATCTTGGCTGCCATCTGGGTTTATATATTACGCTCTCCTTTGGAGGTCTAGGTGGTCTTACCAGGCCACTCTGTGATATTGCATTTCCAAAGTGTTCATCGCGTCGACGCGCATTACATAGCACCGCATTTCATGGAGACGTTCAACGGACAGAACAAGGAATTGAGAGACAAGAGGATATAGGAAGCAACCGACTGCCCAATGGATATCGACTTTAGATAATCTGAACGAGTAACACACATTCACCCATCATTTTTCACCGTTTTTCATGCAGAATTTGTGTGTCAAGGATGATAAAAAGATATTCACAGAATTCACCAGACGGAGAGAAAATACTATCGCGTTTTCCGGTTATTTTTCACCCATGAGAAAAAAATTGTTTTATCCCCTGTGGCGCAACTAGTTTGGTTTTTCCTCGTGAAAAACCCAGAAAGTCCCGCAACCCTGTCGTGCGTAATTAAAATAAAAATGTTTAGCGTTTGCTCGTGATAAATGAGAAAGAGCCACGATATTGTGTGAACACTGGAGATATTATTTGTAATAGCCCCAGGGGGTCAGATATAACGAAAAAAAAAAAACATTCATTTATATTGATGAAGTCAAATGGGTTGGAGAATGAGTTTGAAACATCTAAAAACAGTATCTCGTGGTTGGCATGCACATAACGTGAGGGTAATGTATATAAAACCGTATACACTCTGGGGCTTGCTTTTTATATCGATTTTCTTCGGGGTAGGCGAATTGCCTGTTTCTCTGCGGCAGGTGCGATGGGAACTGAGACGGATAACAAGGAAAGGCTTATGGTGTTTACAGGAGTGAGACAAGAAAATGAGGGGGTGTACTTATCATACGAAAACCAAAGTCTCCCCTAACTAGAATGATAGCCAAAAGGAGGGGACGAGCATGAGTCACATGAAGAAATGGTAGACAGCACGAGAACGAGATTGTGAAGGCTCAGTGGATTTTCCCGTGGAGGGACACGTCACCCTGATCACTCCATAATGTCGTGGGTAATTCAATGGCTCTCGTGGTCAATTTTTATCCCCACAATTTAAATGATTTCTCTTCGTTTCTTTAAATTTCCTCGGAGAGGTGCCACTCGGAATGAAAAATACCAAGGCAAAGGAAGAAAGGGATGGTAAAGGGATATCTCTTGGTGACGTCACATTCGGGGGGGGGTAGAGGCGAATCGTATGTTCTCATTATTGAGAAAAAACGTGGTGGAATGGGGTTGATATGGAGTCAGGGTATTTCATCGACGGGGCGGCGTAGTGCCAGTACGTCGGCCTCAAGCAAAACGCCACCGAATCGATCCAACACACAACAATTTCATTCTCTGGTTGTGAAATAATTTTCATGAACCATTGGCAAATTATTGTGTGGGGAATTGTTCGTTGGGTGGGAGGATTTAATGGTGATTAATCTCGTGCAATCATCCCCCACACCCTTGATCAGAGAAAATTCAACGGAGGGAGGTGAAAAATATGGAGTGGAATAAAATGTTAAATGTAGCCTCCTCACCTTTTTCAACTCCTCAATTCGGGATTAATTCACACATGGACTTTTATCACACTGTTTCACTCACTAAACACTCGATTTTTTTTTATTAATTGATGATTGTCGTTCTCTTTTTTGGATTTTTCTTATTTTTTGGGGGAAGGGGGGGGAGTTTATTAGGAATCTCTCGGTTCTACGGCTCACTGACGAGGGAGAGAATACGACCGACTCGTTTCCACGATTGTAACACGGGTGGTGGTGGCAGAGGGTGGCCCCTCACCGGTTTGCACAGATGGCGCTTCCGTCTGGGGATGAAAAATCATCCCCTCTAATCTTCAAATTTTAAGTATTTCGGTAGCTGTGATTTTTTTTACGGTTCTGTAACACTTGGTGATTGCACGAGAGTCCACTTGTCACACTGAACATCATTTCTATCATTTTTTCATTACACGGATAATTAATTAATTGAATTTTTAAATGATTTTTTTAATCTATGGAGACAAATGTAATTCGGAGGGGAAAAGATACCGTACAATATTTGCGTAGATCGACATGAATTCAGGGAGAAGACATGGATCAGGAGATGAAGACCATATTTGTCAGACCAATTTTGAATTTTTTCTTCAACCGGAAGTCGAGTCATTGAGCGGGAATTTTGAATCAGAGGGGGGACAAGTGAATGGAGATCGACTGAATTCTTATGATGTTTATTATTTTTTCATTGATAAAAAACGTAATGCCTGTAACAAATATTCGTGCGAATCCTCTGGTGTTCATTGTGTTGATGATCCAAGGATTATTCATTTTTTAACAACCTGAATGACGTCCTCGTCGTGCATTGTGTGTTGGATACCGACACGTTGAGGTGAATATTTCGTACTCGTTCCCTGGATGCCAAGTGATAAAATTCAGAAGATTTATTTGTCGTCATAGAGGATAGAGATAATAAAATAGTTATTATTGTCGAGGAAATCAATATTTACCCAGACGAGTGCATATTTGAATTGAGCAGCGAGTGTTCGATGTATCGTATGACAAACGTGCTCCACAGTGACTCCTCTCCTGAGAATCAAACCATCATCGAAATCAGGGGGTTGTCCAGGTTTCTTGGTGTATACCCTGATGAGGGAAAGATACTCCCACAGAGTTTCCAATAAAAAGTCCAAATTCAACTTCATATTACAACTGAAACATATCCAAAAATCGATCAATCAATTGACATGATCACCTCAATACGCAATTACAACGAATAATTAATTTACCTAACTACAACGCTGTTGGGCTGCCTGGCAATCCTGTCGACCTCCTCAATTGAAATTTGATCAATCTTATTATAAACATAGAGACAAGGCAAGTAAACTCTATTGGCATTAATAACATCTATGAGTTCATCGGGACTGCAGTCTTCCCTGAAGAGAACTTCGGCATTGAAAATTTTGTATTCATGAAGAATCATCTGCACCAGTTTTTCATCGACTTTCGTGAGAGGGCAAGTTGAGTTGAAGGATAGTCCACCCCCCTTTTTTATCTTAAAATAAATGTTTGGCTTTTGTTTATTGAGCCTAATTCCCACAGACTCCAGTTCCTTCTCCAGCAGCTGCCTCTGGACGTCCTGTTTCGTTGCATCCAACATCATGAGCACCAAATCTGCAGTCCTTGCCACAGCAATCACCTGTCTACCACGACCTTTACCCTGGAATAAAAATAATCAAGCTCAAGAGGCATATTCCAGCGTTCATGTCATTTCGATTTTCCTGTACCTGCGCAGCCCCTTCGATAATTCCAGGCAAATCCAGCAGCTGGATATTAGCTCCTTTATATTCAATGACTCCAGGAATACACGTCAATGTTGTAAATTCATATGAAGCTGCTTCGGACTCTGTATGAGTTAGAGTCGACAGCAAAGTAGATTTTCCCACCGATGGAAATCCAATTAATGCGACTCTAGCATCTCCAGACTTGAGGACATCAAAACCCTCGCCCTTTTCAGATTTCTTGGAGGGCTCGAGGAGTTGTGACCTGTACTTAGCTAACTTGGCTTTGAGAAGACCCAGGTGATACTCCGTAGCTTCAAGAAGACGAATTAATTAGAAAAGCAAAATTACTTCTCGCATCTTCAGAAGCATTATCATGTCCCGGAGCAGAAAAAACAGGAGGAACAGATGGGGATGATATATTAACCTAGAAACCGACACACCTTTGTTTTTCTGGGTTCTCGCGATCTCCTTCTCGATCTCTGATATTTTCTCAAGGATACCCATGGCAGACACTCAAATTATTAAATCTACACCTTCCAAATGAGATTAAAAAACAATAAATTATTGAACTTGCCGTCGAAATGTGACGACTTGAAGCTTGTCACCTAGACGATGCCGGGTGATTCCCTGATTCTGGTGGAATCTCCATTCACCTAGGGATTTTCTCCCTCCAGGGGTTCAGCACTTTGTTCGGAATTGTTGATGACACACGAGCACTAATACCCGAAATCCCATACGTCAGGTACTTACACACACCCCACACACACACACACATACATACACACTACACAGACACGAAACTATAAAAAAAGTTTTTTTTCTGGAACAGTCCCTCAGTTTTCTCTGTTTACAAACACTTTTGGAGCAGCAAGACAACCAGGAGGTCCTCAAGGTACGTCCCCATCATATTCTCATTAAAAAACATGCCAATAATTTATCAACAATTGACCATTAATGTTGTTGTCTCAATTGTTACTGAGAATCATCCTACAATGTATCCCAGAAATGTATTTTTAGCCAATGTCATACAGTTGAATTGCAGGTGAACTAATGTGAAGGTGTAAATCAGAAAATGGCATCGAATGATCAGTGGCCACCAGTGGCCCCAGTAGGAAAAAATTCGGCGAAAAATCGATCGAGTGGAAATGTAAAGAGACCAACTAAAGAAGATCAGCAGCAGGTGCTCTCTGGACTGACTGAAATGTTCCAGAAAACTCTAGAATCAGAGGTAATCCTGTCAGTAGCCCATAACTGTGACTGGGAGTTGCAATCCTGCATAGATGCCCTCATAGCCCTCTCCTCGACAGTCGAATCACCGGACAAACAGACAAGAGGAGCTTTTGTCCTGGTATCTCGTGATTCTGGGGAGCAGACGGAACCATATGCCCAGGACCTTGAGCCAGATTTCTTCAAAATGGACAAGATCGAATTGCAAAAGCAGAAAGATGAATTTAAAAAATTCGAGAAGATTAAAAAAACAACATCTAAGAACCGAATGGGCTCGTTCAGAGGGAACATATCAAAATTGGATTCGAAGTACCAAGAGAAGCATAATCCTGGGAGTTTCGATTCGATCTGGAATCCACCGAAGCCCCAGAGCAAAGCAGACGAGAAAAATTGGAATGATAACAGTGATTCCGGGAATAACGCTCAATTTGTCCTCCCCCAGATGCCTCTGAAGGCGAATCCCTGGATTGAGGGCCTTAAACAGGTCTCCACAAATCCCCTCAGCCTCAATACACACAATCCTTCGGTCTTCTCCGAGAAAAATTCTATATCCTCGCAGAATAAACCAAAAAAGGAGTCTGAATTTTGTGGGCTGAAGGTGCAGTACCGAATAGCAGGAATGGAGAGTTCCTCAGAGGACGATGATGCTGATGTTGTAATCGAGCAAGAGCTCAACTGCAGCATTCCCACGTCACTACCAGTCAATGTCTCCCAACTGTTGTCATCGTCGATCCAGAGTCCTCCTCAGGTCGCCTGTAGTTACAAAGCAAAAACCATCACGACACCGTCACCACCGAGAACACCAAAAAGGTCAATTCACGAGGCGACACTCGATAGAATAAAGAGAGCCATTCTGAATCGACAGAAAATTATGGTGTTGATGAGGGGCCTGCCAGGCAGTGGAAAATCCTCCCTGGCGAAGAGCCTCGTCTCTACCCTCGCAGGAAATCCTTCTGATTACATATTCAGCAGTGACGATTACTTTGTCACCCTGGGATGTGGAATTTACATGTACGACCCAAGAAGAATCGAAGACGCCCACACTACGAACCAGAAGAAGGTTAATGAGGCACTGAAAAGGGAAAAAACACCAGTGATAGTCGATAATACCAACACTCAAGCGTGGGAGATGAGGCCATACGCAGCTATGGCTGTGAAATTTGGGTACATCGTTGTGACACTGGAGCCGGACACCTCCTGGGCGACCAATGTCAGTCAATTGGCGAAGAAAAACAGTCATGGGGTGCCAAAAGAGAAGATTGAACAGATGTTGCTGCGCTTCGAGCCTGGAATCACTGGGGAAAAACTGCTGGTAATGTTCTCGCTACGATATCCACCAGGGAGTGATCCTCGAGAGCTGAACATTACAGAGGATTGTAAAAATGATACTGAACAGGTGTCTGGACCCACTCTCATAGTCGCTGATCGTCTTCTCGAACTCGAGGAGTCAGCAGATAAAAAAGATGAAGGGGTAGGAAATATTACTCTCGCAGAAGTCACAGAATTAGACGAGTTCAAGCCTAATCCAGGAGAGGAGTACATCTTGCAAGTGTTGGGAGCCATTGGATCAGAGAGAAAGAACAGTGTCGTAGCAACTGATCTCCCCAGCATGCCAGACCTTTCCAATGAGGAAATTAATTCTCCAAATCACGATATTCTGTCACACTGCTCAGAAATGCAGGAGCAGGACGAAGAATTCGGTAAAAAGGGGAAGAGGAATGGAGAGAGTCCTGTGGATCAGATGGAGGACGATGGGGTGAGATCAGCAGTTCATAATTTTCTGAGTGAGCTCACTCAGGGCTACAACAGCACATCTGGAGGTTTCGTCCCAGAGCAGAGGCAGTCGACAGTCATTATCACTGAATTGTTTGAAGAACAGGAGATTCAAAATGTCGAGGATATCGCTGTTAGTCTTCTCGAAAGTACTGATATTGGCGATGGAGAAAAACATGGGGACATCAAACAGGAGGGACAACCTGAAGTTATTCAAAAAAAGAGTGAGGATGAGGAATTGCCAATACTTGAGAATGAAGCTCCAATCGAGGACGAGAAAATAGAGAACAGCTCTGGAGAGGATAGGGACATGAGTATCATCGACGCAGAGAATTTATCGGACATTGAGACAACAGAAGAACCGGGAGAGCCTCAGACTCAATCAACTCTGGGAAATTTCTTCAATATGATAAATGTTTTAATATTGGGGAATACCCAGGATGAAGAGGCCCAGGGGATTGATACAGAGATAGAAGAGGGTAAAGAGTTGAAAGAGTATTCACTTCTTGAGGAACCCCAGTTGGAGTCGAAAATAGTTCCGAATTCAGCTCCTGAGTCAATTTTCAGAGATCATGTGAATATCAATAGTTCAATAGCTGAGATTAAAGCTGCGATTGATAGCACAGATAGTGACGTCTTGACTCAGAAGATAAACAGCAGTGATAATCAAGAAGGCAGAGAATTTTACTCATTGGAGAGTGAGTCATTAGTGTCTGTGAAAATGTCCAGCTTAGAGGAAACAAATGTGTTTTCCTCTGAACTTGAAAAAGTAGAGTGCATTCCCAATGAAGAAATGGAAACAAAGCCTGAATCAAGTGCAGAGCCTGAGATCCTTGATAATATTAACAGAATTACCTGGAAGGAGTCTCCATTTCCAGTGGATGACCTGCTTCTACCTAAAATGAGTACACTGGACAAAGCGAGTTGTAATGTGCCGAAACATGACGCCTCAACTAACACGAGTTACTATGATTTCAACGTTTCCTACATCGGGGGAACGTCGGAGCCCATGTACAGAGTGATTCCGGCTTTCAATAGATACATCAATGAAAGTATACCCCATATTCAGCCAGAGAGGCCACCGGTTAAACTCATGCTGGATAAAAGCTCAATGACTGGGAATATCTTCTCCAGGGAAGGTAATCCAGAGGTGGAGGGAGCAGAGGAGAAAAAGGATCGATTTTTCGAGCTCATGGAGCTTTTTCCCGACATCCCGAGGGACTATTTAGCGGAGATTTATGAGAAAGTTAATGAAGACCTGGACTGGGCTGTGGAATTACTCCTCGAAGGAGTCACTGAGAACGTCATCATCAAGCCAGAGGAAAATTCTGGGCTGCAAGAGTCTTCCACAGAGCAAGGCAATATTACTTCTTCTGAAATTGTGCAATTCACTGTACTGGATTCAAGTCCTCCACAGTCTCCAGGGTCTACAGTTCAGTCGAAGGACGAGAACCAAGTAGAAGATGAAGATAAACAACAAGAAGAGAATGAAGAGAAATATCTGGAGGAACTGGGAGTGATTGAAGGAGTTAAAGATTCGGCTGCAGACGTCTCTGACGATGCCGCATCCACATCGACAACCTCAGTAAGTCGTCTGGAATCCATAGAGGACGAGAAAAGCTCTGAGAGCGATGAACTCCTGGATCTGAACCTGGGATTTGACTGCATAAAGGGCTTGGAGAAAGCCCTGGGCATTCCTAATTTCCACATCCCCGAGAGTTTTTCACCGGTGATCCAGATAAAGAAATCGGTAGCCGAGGAGTTGTACGCTAGTTGGATCGAGAGTCTATCCCAACAAGCGAACACACGCCACGAACAATTGGATCAAATGATGGCGGAGGATGCTGAATTGGCGAGATCTTTGGAACGTAGAATGGAGCTTGAGGGGGCAATTACTTCGGATAATTCTGTCGAACCAAATTTAGAGCAGATAATGGACATGGAGTTGGCTCTAGCCAAATACAAAAATGAATTAAAGTCAATTATAAGTCGAGAAACACCTGATGATCTTGCTGCAAGGCTGTCTCGTCAGATGCTTCACGAGGCAATACCTGATATTGATCCAGACGCTCTCAACGAGATTTTACAATTCTACCATGGAAATTTCAAGGAGGCTTTCGAGGTCATCCAGATGGAGACTGGTAGAGCCATTGTTCCATGTGATACACTCAAGAAGCAGAAGATTTTGATGGATAAAGTGAAGGAGGAGGATAGAAATCTGGGGGAAAGGGAGCCACCTATTATTGTGGTGAGGACCAGGGCTAAAGACGAGAGGCTGGGGTATAATACTGCTCTGGCACATGCCAGGGACTCCAGGGAGGAAGCGCAGAGGCAGTTGTCTCTGAAGATTCAGAATTATAATAAAGCTGCTGAGGCTTACAGAAAAGGATGCCCCGGTGTTGCTGCTTATTACTCCCAAGTGGTCAGTCGATTTATTTCATTGATTTATTTGTATACCAATTACTGGTGATTATTATTTTTTTTATCATTGCAGGCGAGATTGCACACGAAGAATATCGATGCTGCACACGCAGCAGCTGCCAGTGCTTTTGTGGAGGCCCAGTCTTGGGATGATGAAGAGACACTTGATCTGCATAATTTGTTCGTCTCAGAGGCACTCACTGCGTTGGATGAATTCCTGGAATATCATATGGAGAAGCTCATGAGGAGCAATAAACGATCATCTAAGATTTACATCATAACTGGAAGAGGGGCTCGAAGTAATAACGGAACTAGCAAAATTAAACCTGCCGTTTCGCAGAAGTTAATTAGTAAAAATATCAAGTAAGATTATCGATTATTGTTTCACAAAGTTCTGATTGATTAATTTATTGATTAGATCATTTTTAATACATTTATATTTGACTGATTTTAGATTCTCTGAGGCTAATCCAGGCTGCCTAAAGGTCACATTATACAAAAAAAAATGGTCCAACTGATTAAAAACATAGAAAAGGAAACGCACAAGTCGTGGGCCACAGTGTCTGCTCAATATTTCAACTGTAGGTGAATCATTTGCAAAATATGACGATATTTTTCATATACTTTGGAATATGTGATTAAATGAGTCCAATAAGTAACGACGTCGGTTAGACAGATAAGTTTTTTTTTCTTATGAATTTAGATTTACAAATACAGATGAAATATATTTTACTAACATCGTAACATAAGCAATAATTAATATTATTTTTAAAATTTCTCTCTTTTCGATAATTCAGAAGATATTGTATGTCTCGTTATTTTTTTTTTGTACTTCTCACGTGAATTTCGAAATCCGAAATTCGAAAATAATATTTTTCGTCAAGATCACAGTGAAAAGAATGATCATTTACGCTTACGTTTACCATCCAAAATCATGATTATTTTATTTTTGTTAATTACAGAATAGTGAATGATTAATTGTTATGTATACTTGAAATTTTTTTAAGTCACAGTCGATATTCTGTGCCATATTATTCCAAATCTTTGGTAAAATCAAATGAACATGTGTTAATTTTTTCCTTATCAATTTCTCAGTTCCGAAAATATAGAATTAATGAAAATAAAATTACTATACTCAGTTATTTACCCTTTACACGTTTGTTCATGATCCCTCTCCGATTAATATCGTGTGTATCACTTGGAATTTCATGTTTAGGTATTTTTTTTGCTGGACTTTTGATATTCGGGGAATCGATATGAACAAGTGGTACTTTAGCTTCTACTATCGTCGTAAGACGAGTATTTTTCTCATTTTTCTTCTCTCCTTCAGTCTTCCCTTGTGATTTTGGAACAGTCAAACTGGAGAGTCTACGTTTCACCTCCGGCTTTTGCACGATTTCGGGAAGCAACCTGTCAAATTATTTTGATTATCCCCAGCAATTCTCTTTTCATTGCATAATTCGCAATAAAAATAATTACGTGACACTTCTGATTCTCTTGGACGATTTCTGCTCGCCACTCGCAATCAGGGTACTTCCCCTCAGATTATAATGAGAAGAAACACCTGACTGATTGCTTCTGGGTGGAATTTTCCTCACAGCAATCCTCGATTCTCCGTTTCCTTCGAATTTCGTGCTCTTAGATTTGATAACTGGTAGTTTAGAGCTGAAGGTTGAGCTCGGTGAGCCACTGGGTCTCTCCGTCCTCGTGGAATAAACATTTCTTCTCCACAATATATTTCTCTGTCTCCTTGCATCATGAGTTATCGAGGCACTACTGTCCCCTCGTTCTGAAACCGCTATTTTCGAGACATTTGATTTGCTGGAGACATTAGGTCTGGCATTTGGGCTAGACGCTACGATCCTCGGGGTCTTGGAGTTCCCTTCCTCGAAAAATTTAGGTCTACGTGTGCTCAAGGGCTGAAATATATTCAATTAAATCCGAATCATCCATGAAATAAGATATTATCGAAGAACTTAATTAAATAGCGAGACAATTTTATCGATTAGGACTCGGAGTAGGACTTGTACTTTGCATTTTCGACGTTTCTCAGAGGTGATGTAGCTCAAGAGCATTGGATTTCTCCAGTGAGAGCCTTCTGGCGTAGCACTAGGATACGGGAAAGGGATCATCTGTCTCGGAGACTCGCATGCCCTGGGTAACACAAGAAGAAATAATTATTCCAGAATTTCCAGCCATTTCGTGAGTCACCTCAAATCATTGAAGTAACGATTTTCCAACAGCCTCTTGCCATTGCTCCTGTTCTCCGGGTCATAAACCAACATCATCTTCATCAGCTCCTTTCCGGCGTCACTCACATGAGGAACAAGAGCTGAGATGCCAATTCCGGGTTTGTTAGGGAAGAAAAATTCACAGCTTTTTGATTTGCTGTTTTTGATTTGGGCCCAGATTAGAAAATTGTCCGGGTGTTTGTATTAGTATGGAACTTACTGTCGACGAAATTTCGCGATGATTCTCGCGTGAGGAGTTCCCAGGACCCCGTGGATTTTAATTATCTGATCGATTTCGTTGGAACCTGGGAAGAGAGGTTTGAGTGTTAGGAGCTCGAAGTAGACGCACCCCAGAGCCCAGATGTCCATCTTCGGACCGTAAAAACCGGTGGTCAATAGACATTCTGGGGATCTGTACCACCTGGTGGAAATGTACTCGGTGTACGGGGGTTTACTGTAGATGCCACGGACCGACCCGAAATCAGCGAGTTTCATCGTGTTCCCCTAGTCCAAATTTTAATTTTATGATAGAAAATTAAGGGAGAGCACGATGGACTAGTTAATTTTCTAATCAGAACCTTCACGAGGATATTTTCGGGTTTTATGTCCCTGTGGAAGATGCCGTACTTGTGGAGATGATCCAGACCTTTCAACAGTTGATAGAGAAAGAATTTGGCTTTGACTTCCTGTATGACTCTTCTGCAACAATTTTTATGGTTTTTAAAGACTCGTCAAGGGAGAACTATTGATTTTACCCTTTTCGTGATCTTATCAAGTCGTACAGACTCATGTCCATCAGCTCGAACATAAGAGTGACTTTTCCAGGTAATGAGTCACTACATAAAGAAAAAAATAGTTTTGACTTATGGAGTTTGAAAATTTAATCGTGTCGGTCTTACTAGTGGCATTCAATCATGTAAAGTATATTGGGATGTCGACTTATCTTCCTCATGGCTATTACCTCGGGACTGTCGAGAATCTCGTTGAGGCTAGAGTAATTATAAATTAGAGGACCATCGATGTGAAAAATTAATTAACTCACGACTGATAAGTGCTCTTCAATCTCTTGCCGGCGTAAACAAAACCAGTGACTCTGTCCTGGCATTTCAAAACTTCCGAGAATGAGCCTTCGCCGATTTTTTGAATAACTTTGTACTCTGAAATTTGGGAATCGAAAGAATTTTTTTAATCAAACTTATAGCGATTGACATATATTATCACGAACTTTTTAGAAATGTCGTTGACATGATGTTTTATTGGATAAGATTATCTGAAAGTTTGGGTGTTTAATGTCGGTGGATGCACCGAGTGATAACGATACTTCTGCCCAAGGAAATCATTTTCGGACAGAACTTCAGATGAGTCAGAGCGAAAGATCAATCAAAAATGAAAATACCACGGAATATCGGAGTCGGCTGTTTTTACAGACACATTCATGCACATGATTAAAAAAAGAACGAAAGAGAAACAATAATTGTTCAACGATTGCACTAACAATTATCAATCACCTTGTGCAATGTTCTACATATTTATTCTCGTTATTAAATGGTTACAGTATCTATCATCTTCCTTATAATAAATGTCATTAGAATAATAGCGTCAATTGATTTTTCGTAGAACAATTCCCGAATATTAAATGAACTTGCTTCTCTCTTTACCAAAAACACTCTTTAATCCTCTCTAATTCAACACTATTTATCATTTAGCCACTCATCTCTAAACAACAACACTCGAGTGTCAATGACTTGAAAATTACTAAACGAAGAATAATAACTCGAAAAATCCGTTAATCGATACAAACTGTTTCTTCGCATGAAAACTGTTTTAATCCGAAATAAATGTGAACCGGTAAGATCCACCAGTGGCAAAAAGGCAGTTGCAGGGGGAACAGTTCTGGTTTTATCATCAAACTTGTTCGTATCTTTCTCTATTCTCAACTGAGAAAGGTGCTCTTGTGCTAGGAATGTAACACCAGAGAAAGTAATCATAATTCCGTTGTCCTCGAAAAGGAAAAAAAAAACCGAAAATTACCAGCACCAGACAAATCATTGACAACAATAATCAACAATTGAGGGCCACGCACCACCCACGGTACATTGACATGTGAATATCTTTATAATGAAATAGCCCTCGATCTCACTCCTGCTAAGAATACAACTCAATGCTCATCTGTAAATGAAAAATAAATTACAGTTTTCGTAATTTTTCATAATTAACGAATAGTATCGGTTAATAATCTGATTGCAATACAAATCGTTACAATAGGAATTCGGTGATTATTTCTTGAGGTACTTTGGACCCTGGAGTGGTGTGGTATCCGTGGCTCTCAATTGTGAAATCATAAAATTTCATACTATCTCTCGATGTTCTCTCATCTCAGTTGTTAAATGTAATTTGTGATTGAACAGTACCTTGCACTTGTCACTCAGTTTGAGCGCAAGCGCGTGTTTTCCAACGCTGCTGCGAGACGTGCAAGTCAACGTGCGTGCGTGAACACAGGAACCAGAGTTGCTATTCGAATCCACCTATCAATTAATCTTTCGATTTTTTTCTCATATCTCAATAATTCACCTCAACACTAATTTTATCATCTACTCTACCTCAACCGCTGCAATAAACATTGAAAAATAAATGGTAGGGTAAATCGATTCTTCGTGAAATTTTTTAAACCGTGAGAAAAAAAATCTGGAATGACAACGCCATTTACTTTTGGTGAAAAACAATATGTAGAAAATATTTATTTTTCGGTATTTGTTTGTTTGTTTGTTTTTTTTTTATAGAAATTGAGCAATGATTTGCACAATATCAAATCACTCGTTTGTATCTGGTTTTTTTTCTTTTCTAGAAAAATATAAAATTATGTACAATTCAATAAATTATGAGAGAACCATTCCCTTTATCATTTTATCGAGGTACAATACTCTCGCCATATCGTACCCTCCGCAGTATTTTGATAGCAAATTAACGTTGTCAAAATAATCGTTTGAATGTCTAAATAAATTGACTCAATTTAAAAAATATATATCTGTATATATTTACATGAAATGTTTCACCAGTGGAAACAATAATTCCGATCGATTATCTCGAAGCCAAAAATTACGGTTGCTCTTTCACGGTATTTACTCACCAACTATCTCAAAACTATGGCATTTCTCTCAGTTGAATCTACAATAAAGAGCCACTCTACTGTCGTATAAATACCCTATATACATTAAATCGAAATTAGGTCCTGTGTTCACTATCACAGCAATGTTTCGTTAAGCAGCAATAGATTCTTTACCAATTTACAAAATCAATTTTGACTCGACAATCAAGGACTATCCAAGGGAGAGCAAACAAAAATCTAAGAGACAGATAGAAGAAGAATATTCTGATTGAGACTCACTGGACTCACAGTTTCCCCACCACTCCGAAAAAAGTCAGTCCAAACGTCTTCAAGAGCGAAAAAAGAATCATCTTTTTTTTTCCCTTTGTTCCTTAGCTTTTTTACCTATCCTGTCCTGTATGTACACCTCAATTAATGCCTCCGGATATTGAATTTACATTTTCAGGGGCTGAGAGATCCCCGATAAAGTCTCAATACTTTGGTCACTCTCATATCCTTGAATCTCATCAATCGGGGAATAAAAAAGTCCCTCAGAGCCGTTACAACGCTTCTGCGTTTGGCTCCTCAATGACATTATTCTCTTCACAATTATCTGTGTTTTCAGATGGTCCAGGAGCCTGGACAGAGTCTGTACTGATTGCTGGTTCTTCACTTAACTTATTTTCACAAAATTCCGAGACCTCCCTCACCTCCTCACTACGACTCTCATCATATTGTTCAGGGGCATTATCGTTCGTTGCTGGCACATGATTGTCCTCATAATTCACTTCCTGAGGTTCCTCACTCGGCCTGATGGTGTCCTCAGTGTCGACAGCTTCATGCTCAGGATTGTTTGATTCTTCGTTGGTTATTTCTGCCACTTGTGTCGTTTCATCAGCAGCCAATGGAGGAGCTGGCTCATCCCAGCTCTCCAAAGGCTCATGCTCGTTGGTGTCCCCAGGCTCAACCTCACCAGGTGGTCCATCAGGCTGTTCCTGAGAAGGACTCGCATTGCCCCACCTGGACTTTCTATTTCTAGAGTTTCTCTCTCTGTCCCTGCTGTCTCTGTCCTGATGTTTGTGACCTTTTGGAGTATCCCTGTTGGGGTGATTCTCACGTGGAGGTTCCTCCCCCTCAATTCCATTATTTCCCTCCATCCAAGGGCCATTCTCCCCTCTCCATGGGCCTCCCTCTGGTATGTGGGGGCCTCTGAAGGGGCCTGAGGGACCACGACCCTCGTCGAATGGTCTGAAGAACGCCTCCCCTTCCCTTGGATCGAATGGAGGTCCTCGGGGGCCAAATTGACGCATTCCGGGTCGTATTCCTCGGGGGCCCATGCCACGTGGATGGAACATCGGAGGACCTGCACAGAAATTAAATGACTTTATCTTTTTTACTTGAAAATAAATACCTACAAATTTTTGTAAATGTCTTACCATGTGGACCCCCTCTATTTCCCATGCCTGGTCTCGGTCCGAAGGGCTCAGCAACCATCGGTCCCCTGGGTCCCCTGGAATTCATCATAGGACCAAATCCTGGATCAATATGCCCAAAGAACTCTCTCCTCCTCATATCAAAGTCTGGATGATCAGGATGTAATCGAGGATCGAAGCCATCAGCCATTCTTGGATCGAATCCCTCCCTCTGGCGTCTCTCAAATTCAAATCTCTCGGCTTCGTACTCATCCACAGGCATGCGTCGCATTTCAGGTCGCATTTCTGGCCGCATTTCCGGTCGCATTTCAGGCCTGTCAAACTCTTCCCTCGGATGCAAACGATGATCAAAATCTTCAGGTCGAGGAGGTCCATTGTGCCCCAGACGATCAAACTCCTCGGGAAACCTCCCAGGCATCATCCTGGGGTCTGGAAAATCATCCAATGGCCCTCTGCCACCCCGAGGAGGAAATACACGATCGCGATCGTTTCTTGGGAATTCTCTGATTTCCGGTGGGCCCCTGAACTCAGCTCTGCCCCCGAACTCCCGATCCCCAGGTGTAGGTGGGAATTTAGGGAGATCCAGAAGTGAGGGAGGCCCATCAGTAGGTCTACGAACATTCATAGGATCTTCAAAAGGTGGTGGACGCTCCATGCTTCTATCATTTCTCTCCATACTCCTGTCATTTGTTTCTCTAACTCGATCCATCCTGTCGTCCATGGGAAGAGTGCCATCAGCCAATTGTCTGAGTCTATCAGCAAGACTAAGTTTGTCCTTCTTCACGCCCATATCTGGCTCCTGCAAAAGACCTGGCATTGGCCCATCGTGAGGCCTCGTGTCACGATCTCTTCTGTCATCTCTCCTTTCGTCTCTGTCTCTCTCCCTTCGACGATCCCTCCCTCGATCCCTTCCTCTACCCCTGTCTCTCCCACCATCTCTATCTCTGTCGCGATCACTCCTTTCTCGTCTTTCCCTGTCTCTCTCTCGATCACGATCCCTGAAGTCCCTGTCACTATTCTCGTTTCTATCACCAAGAGGACCCTTTCCCATCACTGCTAATAACTGATCACTCAAATTGGGCTTGTCCTTAGGTGGATTAGCACTTTGGGGCATTACATCTTCCATTTCAACGTCCATATCGTCTGAATGCTGGGGTGGTAACTGCATTTGCATAGGAGGTGGTGGTGGGCCAACATTGAATGGCTGCCGAAGCATTGGAAGATTTGGGAGATTGTTGTCACCCGTTGAATTTGACTTGTCGGATGGTGCAGCTGGTGCTGCTGGTCCTGGCAGTGGAATTTGAGTGAGCAGACCAACACCTACACCAGTGCCAAATGGTGAATTAACTGGTGGTGTCAACATTGATTGCATGATTCCAGGAGGTCCCAGAAGACTCTGCATATTGGGTGGTGGCACACCAATTGGAACATTCGGCATCAATCCATGGGCCATCGACAGTCCCATGGCGCCCAGCATACGAGGTACACCTGGTATAGGGAAACCAGGAGGCATCATCGATAGCTGGGTACTTGTAGGAGGTAAAAGTCCAGTGGAAGCTGTCGCTCTAATTGGTGGAGGCTGACTGGTGTCCACGATGGTTTGTTGGGAACTTGAAGTGGCAGGCATAACGTTCACCATTCCATCGGTTAATGTGGGAATTGGTGCACCACTCAAAGGCATTGGGATACTCTGTCCTTCATTCGATCCTGAATGCTTCAATTTTCCTAGAGGATAAAAAAATAATATGAGTGAGGGAAAAACGGATAATCAGTAAATTTGTCACAGATTAGCTTGGCCAATCGAGACATTCAACATCATCAATTGGTTCAAAAATCTGCATCTACTATCGCAAGTTGGTTCCAGCCACAATTACGTAAGAAATTGCAGTTAAATTAAACTTGCCAAGAGAGTATTGAATGGAGAATACTTACCAATTAATCTCGATGGCAACGTATCTTCATCAATCATTCCTCCCTCCTCCAGCAGCTCCAGATCGTGTTCAGTGACGTTATTGAGTTTATTCCAAGGTATGTAACTGACCCCGAGCTCCACCTCCCAGTAGTCTTTCCACTCCTTTCCCTTGACTCCCTTTCCAGGTGCCCAAGCCAACTGAAATCGAAAGCCCGATGAAAAATAAAAAAAATTCCGGAATGAAAATCATATTTACGAAAAATAATTTCAACTCACAGTGATTGCTTTCCCCTGCATCTTATGATTCTTCAATTTAGTCAGTGCTCGATAAGCATCTTGTCTACGATTCATGCAAATGAAAGCACAGCCTCGAGGTGAAATGAGGTCAATACTAACGATATCGCCCAGCTCGCCAAAAGTATCAGAAAGCTCCTCCTGATGGACGAGTTTCGACAAATGCCCAACCCACAACGTAGTGCTGCATACACTCATCTTCTCCCTGACAATAGGAGGTAGTCCCCTCTTCCTGCGTTCTCTCTGCTTCTCCCTCTCCTCTTCGCTGACCTTTTCCCTGCTGTCATCCCTCTTCCGATCTCTCGACCTAGACCTCCTGCGTCTAGATCTGCTCCTGGATCTGGACTTTCTGTCCCTGTCTCGGTCCCTATCTCTCCCTCGATCATTGCGATGCCTGGGAGACCTGGACCTACTGTGCCTGCGAAACCTGTCGGGTGATCTGCTCTGAGATCTCACAGAATCCAAATTAACGATTTCAACACTGCTAGAGTCACGCCTGGTGGCAGAGCCCTGATAATCCTGCGAGTCAGCATGTTCATCGGGAAGAGGACTCTTTTGATGGATCGACTGTCTCATACCCCCCGCTGGTTGGGGCATAAAAGCTGGGGGATAGCCCGGCGGAGGTTGACTCATATCCTGTTGCATAACTCCAGGATTGTTGTAAACGTGACTACTAGGCTTGAGGACATCGGAAGGCTTGAGCTCGCACTCAGAAGCGAATGGCAAATTTGGAACAGTTTGAGCCAAATGTTTATCGAACTCGTCCTCCTGCTGCTTCATCTGCTGCAGCTTTCTCATTTTCTCCTCCATTTCATGCTGAGTGGAGGACGTCCCTCCCTGCATCGTCTGCTGAAGTGTCTGCAACTGTCTGAGGACCTCCGGATTCGTTAACAATAACCCCAGACTCTCCAAACTCCCAGTGGCACTAGCTCCATGCTGTCCTGCTGTCGCTGCAGCCGCTGGGGAATTCGCCATTATGACGTCATCATCCTCTTCCTCCCCGTAGTCGAAGTCCAGAAGTTTTTTATCGAATTTGACTGAACTCTGAGCCTCACTGGTGGCCTCCTGTTTCTTGAGGAGTAGCTGCTGAAGGTGCTGGAGCTGATCCAGAAATGATGCATCGACCTGGTTGCCACCAGCCTGGCCGAGCATTTTATTGGCGTTTACCATGTTGGCGGCCTCTAGTTTGGTCTGTGCTAGCCAAGCAGGATCTATCGTCTTCCCCGAGAACATCTTCTGATCCTTCGGGGTGCCCTTCACTCCTGGAGAACTCTTGGAGATCGAGCTCAACCCAGTGAGATTATTCCCTGACGTGTTCAGTGCTCCATTTGAATTGATTGACTGCTCCTTGTGGATTGGATGATTAGGGTCTGCGAGGTCGAAGAGAGGTTGAATAACCTCCGGGGGAAACACTGCGTTCTTCTGCCAAAGATTGAGTACTCTGATCACCTTGCTCTTGTCCTCTGGAGGACACTTGAGAAGGTTCAGAAAAGTTGTCTGCATGTTCTTGGCGAAGCGAGGGGCAAACACATCTTTCTCAACCCCAAACTGATGTCTCGATTGCCGCACAATGGAGTCTATTACGTAGAGGCCAGGAACTTTGTACTCCGGTTTGCACTAAAGAAGAAAAACCACAATTACTCATCATCCATTGGACCTAGTTTCATCTAAAAACTTGGTTTCTCACCTTTTGAATGAACTTCTCGACACTCTGAACGACATGCTTGTAGAATTTGATGGCCTTTATAGCACCTCTGGTGAGAGAATTCATTTTAGCTTTCGATATCGGTGGCTTGACTTCGTACAGAGCCGAGAGCTGAAACATAAAAGTGAACATCATAACAGACCACATAAACTCAACATTTATAGGATTTAAAATTTTTTGTTGTACGATATTATTCTGCACGAGATCCAATCAAATCAAGTGCAATTTGTTACCCAAGCCCACTGTTAGTAAACATCTTCTAAAGCATTAAAAAATCCCCGCTGATCGTCGAAATAATGATTTCACACCCGAGAGTCCCCAGGAGCAAAATGATAATCATCCACTGGATGATTCTCGTCGGTGAAAAAAAGGGAGGGTTTACCCTAATACAGTGACCTCCAAAATAATCACGTATCTGTAAGGAACAGGTAAATAATTCCATACCTCTGCATTAAATGCCTTAACAGCGTCCATTGTTGATTGTATTATTGCCGAGTGAAGTGCACAGTAACTCAATTAAATTTTTACGACGCTGTCTAGACTATTACACTATTATTTTCACGAATAATCGCCATTTCTTATCGTTAACGCAACTACCGCAGCCAAAAAGGACCATGCCATTCAAGATGGCAGACACCATTTCCCAGTGTGCATCGCGGATACACAGCGTTATGACGTCACAATTTTTGGATTCTTCCCCTATGAATTTTTGATAAATCCTCAACAACCGGGAGAATTAATTTTTTATCACTCAGGTCTATTTATCAACAGATGCACTAGCTCCGGGTGAATATTTTTGCAAGACATTTATTTCTTCGTTGGTAAGGAAAGAAGAAAGAGGGGGGAGGTTGCCACGCAACTAACGCCTCCAATTGCCACCGGTTGCAACTTCATTTCGAGATTATTTTTTAATTTTACATCCCGCTGCCTCTGTGCAATTATTCTAACCTGATTTGTTTAATTTTCTTTATTATTGCCAAAGAGGATTGACTAAAGTAGAGGCTCAGTTCTGGGGGTTTGAGTCACCCCCCGGCATTGTAGTACTTCACCCCAAGGGAGAGAGGGTGCCACCCGCAATAAGCTAGCGTATCTGCCCGTCAGCCGACTCGATAACTGCCTCAGTAGCAATCCCGCTGTCAGAGAGACCAGTCAATGGGGTGAATGTTATTTTCTGCTTTACGAAATTGGTATCCAGTGAAATTTTCAAATTCAAAATTTTTGAAATAGTATCAGGGTAGCATGACAATGGAGGAGGTATTGCGTCTTTTCTGATACTTTTTTGAAAATTTCGAATTTTTCAATTTCAGTGAATACCTCCTCAATCGTCATGCTCTCCTGATACTTTTTCAAAAATTTTGAATTTGAAAATTTCAGTGAATACCTCCTCGGATCTCCTGTTCTCCTGATACTTTTTGAAAAATTTTGAATTTGAAAATTTCAATGAATACCTCCTCGATTTTCGTGTTCTGATACTTCTTCAAAAATTTTGAATTTGAAATATGAGTCAGTTACCGGCAGTTAGTCGGCTGATAGGCAGACACCCCCATAGCGTGTGGCGCCCTCCCTCTCTTGGGGTGTAATATTACGATGTCGCTGGAATCACTCAAAAAAGTTTTGAGGATTTTTTGTAGTCCACGAGGAAAAATTTAAGAAATACGACATCGAGGGTTCATGTTGGACAAATTGTTGATAAACAATGGAGAATATTTTGTTGAGGAGAATTCATCGAAAGATCTATCCTTATCTCAATGCTTTGAGAACGTTCCATGCAGAGGCAGAGGGTGAATATCCCAAAAGTAATGGGAATATTATGGATAAGGAGAAAAAACGCCATCCTTATCGTAAAATTCATCCCTGGAAGTCGACGTATGGATTTAATGAGAGTCTTATCAACTCTGTGCTTTACAACGAAGGTATCGGCTTCAATGAGACAGTTTCTTCGAGGCATTTGTGATATTCTCCTTTTTTTATTTAATGCTGTTTATTTTCAGATGGGCTAGTGGCAATTAATAAACCTTATGGAATCTCTTCCAGAACTCCTAAACCTAATGAAATTCAGGTGAATAAACTTCCAAGTGGAATTCCTAATGCAGTTGATTACACTGTGGCGGATGCATTGCCAGTGATTGCAGATAGATTGGGGTACAAATCCCTCACAATTATCAAAACCCCCGAAAAGTAATTGAGTGGATTTATTATCAATTTTGACAGCTCTGCATTGACTATACGAAATTATAGAGTTTTTTTGAGTATTTTGTAGGTTTACGAGTGGAGTCGTTCTTCTGGGAGCTTCTCCACAAATTAAAACAGCAGTTGAAAAGTCTATGAGAATAGCTGAAGGCGCCAGAATATTGCCTCGTACTTTCTGGGCAGTTACTAGACAAGTTCCTAAACAATTGGAGGGAGAGAGCAGAGTTGCAATGACATTGAATCGTGTGAAGGAGAGGAAAAGGCCAGTGGTGAGTCCCACAATGCGCTCGATTTTGAAGGAATAATTAGCTGAGATAATAAAATTATTAACATCTTGGATGCACTTTCAGCCAATCATTATCAATACTTGGAGTGCGAATGCACGTGAGAGAGGCGATATAAAAATCCTCAATGTTCAGTACAAAGTTCTGTCCCATGGAACTTACAATGTGGCCTCATTGGTGGAGATAAAATCATCGACGACAGTGTGGCATGCTGTGCGTCTATTCGCAGCGACTGTCCTCCTCTCTCCAATCCTGGGAGACAATATCTATGGATCGAGGGTTCAGAATGTCTTGGGTAAAAGATTACTGGTGAACGTTGCAGTGGATGCAGCCCACATACCTCCAACACTAGACCCAGATCTTCTAACAGTCTTGAAAATCGGCAAGAACAAGGATTTAATGATTCCAGTGCACATGCACCTTCGAGAAATGTATCTTCCCTCGTTCTTGAGGAAGAAAAATAATGTCGTCATACAAGCCCCTTTACACCCCGAGTTCCTCTGGACTTGCAGGCAATGCGAATTCGATGAGAAGATCTTCGAAAATATCCCCAGTGATTCTGAAGTTGAGCACAAGTCTCTTGAAAAACGAACTGCTGTTACATGAATAAATAAAAATACTCACTGATTACTTGCACTCATCATTATCAATAAATTAATTATATTTTTTGGTGTATAACTGGTATAACAAATTACACAGAAAAAAAAATTTACAAAGTAGAAATTATGTGACGTAATGAACTATTCGTTAGAATGGGCTTCGAAAATTCGCGAAATAAATTCTAGTTTTGCTCCCACGTTCGCTAGATATTTCATGAATTATTTTCTTAATGTGCGAGGATAGAGCACCCCTTAAGGATTCTTCTCATAATGATTTTCCTTCCAGCGAGGGTGGACATCCTTTTCTTGTAGCCATGGGTCTTGATCCTTTTAGTTTCCTTCGGCCTTGGCCAGTTGTTTCTCACCTGGTGAATGAATGGCATTGCCCCCCACCTTCCTCCTGCTATTTCATAGGGTGTTAGAGGTAGTTTTCGAGAGGGTGTACTCATCGACCTCATCGGCAGGAACACCGGTCTTCTGCAATATATATTTCAATGCAACCATATTCAAAATTAATGATCGTAAGGACAAGTACTTACTGGAGTGCCTGGAAAACCGTAGAAATCATTCGCCCAAACATTTTTACAGTGAGTGCAGCTCTTACTATTTTTAATAATATTCAACAACTCCAAAAAATTCGATGACTTTGTACAGATGAAGAGGTTAGACTGGATTTTCCTCCCCCACAGATAAATTACCAACTGAGGAAACAACTGGTAATTTCTACCAAAGAGGATTGACTGAAGTAGAGGCTCAGTTCTGGGGGTTTGAGTGACCCCAGTGGCATCGTAGTGCTGCACCCCAAGAGAGGGAGGGCGCCACACGCAATG